CTAAACAGCAAAGGGCATGCCTTACACAGACTCCTGGCCAGAGGGGGTAGGAGGGTTTGGTATGCCCTGGGTCTGCTGCTCACAGAGGCCCCTGGGGTCCTTGTCCAGTGCTATATAGGACCACAGAAAAGGTGGCTTTGCACCCAGCTTACAGTTGGGGAAAGTGAGGCCCAGAAGGAAGGGTCCTGAGGCTTGCTGGTAGCATTTTAGTCTCAGGGGAGCAACTGTGGGCTTTCCTGGGGGTGCTGGTGAAGGAGGGGGTGGTTTGCGTGTTGTCTGTGGACTGGTGTGCAGGACAGAGTGGGAGTTGTAAGTCCAAAGGGACGCTGAGCCAGGCTCACATCCTCCCACCCCCATACACGGCCACCGCCCAGCCCCCTGTGTAATCTCAGGCCAAAGGAGAAAGCTGCAGGTGGAGAAGGTGGAGAAGGCTGGGGGCTGGCGTGAGGGTGGGAAGATCTCCTGGATGCGTACCTAAAAGTAAGAAAACGATTATTTCTCGGGGGACAGGGGTGGGACGTTCAAAACAAAATCCAGTGAGGGTCTGGAGCCGCCTCCCACATCCCAACCAGTGTTACGCCGGAACTCCATGGGGCAGAGGTCGATCTCGGGGTGGCGGGTGCGGTCTCCGCGGACCTTCACTCTCCCGGTGGATCCGGGTGGGGCTGCTCCCGCCCGAGCAGCCTCCTCAGATTGGTTCCCTCAGTACCCAAAGCGCAGCTCTGGGAGGCTCGGTAACCGCCCCTCCCACCGCCCTCAGGTATCACCCCCAACGCTGGGCCGGCCGGGTGGGCATCCTGCTGGGTCCCCGCATCTCAGAAAAGGACGCTCCCAGCTCCAGCCACTCTCCGACTTCGGGCAGCGCAGGCCCCCCTACTTCTGCACCCGTGTGTCCAGCTGGGTGCCCCAGTCGCGCGCTGTCCTCACCCGCTTCCTGGGCCGCCCCCTCCACTTGCTGCTTCAGATCCTGCAAGCCCTTGCTGGCCATGGCTGCGGTGGGGTCTGCGAGGTCGCCAAGGGTAGCCGCAACGACGTTGGATCCCGCTCACAGCATAGCCACCCGAGCGGCAGCTCTGGTTTTTAAGGCGCCCCAGGGCTGGCCCGCCCCTCGGGGGGCGGGGGGAGAGGGGGGGCGCGGGGCGGATCCCAGCACACAGGCTCTGGGTTGAGACCCGGCCCTACTCCAAGCTCTGCGGGACCAAGAGCACATGCTGGCCTCTGGGGACTGGAGGTGGAACGGTGGGAAGGCTGTCGTTCCGACCAGGGTCTGAAGAGGTGCTTGGGATCGCAGAGGGGTTGGGTCGGGGGTTCAGAGAATGGCTGAGAGCAGAGGGCGCGCACAAACCTTCCACCCTGTCAGACCGACACTCGCTCCCTGACGCTGAGGATCCCCCAACCCAACCCGTGAGCGCGGGGTCGGTGCCAGGTCAGGATCTCAAGGTCGGCGTTGAGATTCATAATAGCAGCTGCCTTTTACTGAGCATTTTACCTTGTGCCAGGCTTTGCCCTAATGCTTTAACAGCCTCATGTCTCATCTTCACAACATCTTGAAATGGGTGTTACTAAGTTTAGAGGAAGAAACTGAAGCACAGAGAGCAAGTTAGATCTCATCCAAATTCACATGGTAGAACTCAAATCCACGTTGATGGTCTGTAAACCCCGGGGCTCTGACAACCGTGGAGCTGGTGGTCTCCACAGTCCCCATACACTCAGCCTGGACACCGCAGACTGGCCATCTCCCAGCCGCCGCTGGGCGCCGGCAGGGACTTAGAGGAGAAGGTCCAGTAAATCACCGCCCCCCCTGCCCCTCATAGAGGAAGGGTCACCAGTATGCACCCCTGGGATGATGCAGCCTGAAGTGGAGCGGGAATAACAGAGAGGTCAGTTTGTGTGTGCCCAGCCCAGGCAAGCAGATCGCTGTGGGTCACCAAAGCCGGACAAGTTGGGCAGGAAGCACGGTGCAGAAAGAGCAGGGATGCATCCCAGGCCACGCAGCGAAGAAGGAAGCCGCGGAGTCGCAGGCTGCTCAAGTCTTTTTTTATCTAGGGCAGGGCGTGGTGACCAGCTGGGGGCGCTGGTGTTAGAAACCTGCAAGTCAGTAGGGGAGCCAGAGATCCCCGAGTCGGCGAAACGACCGGCAAGCAAAACCTCCTGGCACTCAAGGGTATAGGGCCCCCACCTGCCTGGGTACTCTCCCACTTAGGAGTCCGCCTTCGAAGCCTAGAGGCCACCTCTGCGCTGCCGCCTCTGTGTCTGGGCCCCTAATTCTTGCTCTATGGTTCTTCTCCTGGCACCTCTATTGGAGTCTCCCCTATTTTGGAGCTCTGGGGAGCCCCCACTTATCCAGGTGCACTCCGCTGACCCATGGCCTGCCTTTAATGGTCCAGGGGGAGATTGGAGAGAGTCTAGGGGCTAAGCCCTGGAGGGTCAGTCCCTGGTGTGGGATATCTGGAAGCCTGTGCGCACACATGCGTGCGCGCACACACACACACACACGGAATGGATTAATGGAGATAAGGTCAGCACTGGGCAAAAGGAAGGGGTAAACGCTGAGATTGAATGGGGGCAGGGGTAGACACCAAGCCAGACTGAAGCAGCTGCCTCTCCTTGCCGCTCCTGGCTGTGAGCCTGGTGACGACCAGAGCACAAAGGCGCGGCAGAGAGCCACCTGATACCCGCCTGGGGGACTCTGGAGCGCAGCCTAGCTCCTGACCCAGGCCCAGCAGCCCTCCTGAAACCCCACCAGTATCTCCAGTCCCTTTAGCCTGGAAAGCCTTTTACACTGTTCCAAATAGCTCATTGCTGGGCTGCTAGTACTATTTGGCACCAGGCCCAATGGGCGAGGAACGAGACAGGGAGGCAGCAGCCTGTGTCTCTCAGCTGGGCCCAAGGAGCTGATGATGGAGGTGGTGTGTGGCTCTAAAGTAGCAGGCACTGGAGTCAGACTTCCTGGGTTCAAATAACCACTAAGGCAAGTCCCTTCATCTCCCTGAGCATCAGTTTCCCCATCCTTAATGTTGGTGGTGGGGAGACAGTAACAGAATCTCCCCAGAGTGTCACTGTGAGGATTAAATGGGCTGAAAGAGGCCCAACACTCAGCCGAGGGTCCTTCAAGAGAAAAACCTTGCCCCTGGGGCCTCACAGATGAGGAGAGGGATAGGGAGAGAGCAGTTTCTCCTCTAAGGAAGTCAGGTGCAGCCCCACGGAGCCAAAGCATGTAATGGGGGGTTTAAGGGCACAGAGCACTGCAGGAGACATAGGGTGTGGCAGGGGCTTCCTGTAGCTGGCAGATGTTGATGTCGGGGCATCTGACCCCAAGAACAGGCCCTGAGTATGTGTCTAGGCTGGAGGGCAAGCAGCAGGGAGCTTCCGGGCTTCTTCAGCAGAGGGCACTGGGAGCCTGGCAAAGCTCTGCCCCAGGGACTGGGTGTGGGGATCCCCCTCCCCCAGTCACCTGAGCAGACCAGCTCCTCCTCCCTTTCATTTACAGTGGAAGAGCTCTCAGCACACTGGGGCCCCAGGTGACCTCCTGGGGCAGGCATAGGCAGGCCTGCTGGTGTGCTGTGTCTGGCCAGGGAGCAGGAACACCCTGACTACCCTGAGCCCTGCCAGACCCTTCACTCCTCCCACTGTAGTGTTTGGGGACTTGGGGGACTAGCAGTCCCAACTCCTTTCTGCCTTCTCAGCAGTGGGTGCCCCTGGTCAGCAGGCTGGGATACAACCCAGCTCAGGTGTATTTGACTGGGTTCCCAGCTCCTAGGCTGCTCTTGATTCCTGTTCCCCACCAAGGAGGCAGGATGGAAAGGTGCTGTGGACTCAAGCTCCAGCACCCAGGGCTCTAGCACTCAGGGCTGGGGGCGGGCACATCACCGAGATGCTCTGAGCCTATACTGTCTGAGTGTCAGAGAGGAAAGAACCCTGGTCTCTGCTCATCCACCTCTGAACAAGACTCCTAGGCATGATGCCAACAGCCCTTCCTGGAAGGCATGCAACAGCCTGTTTGTGCCCAGGTTGTTCTGAAGCCTTGGGTGTCAGCATCTGCCATAAACACACTGGAGGCCCTGCATTAAGGGTGGCCGTAGCAGAGCACACGAGGCAGCTGGGTGGCCCTGGAGCCAGGCCACCTGGGCTTCTCTCCAGTCCCAGTGACGCCTTGCTCTGTGCTCTCGGGTGAGTTACTTAACCTCTCTATTCCTCAATTCATTCTTGGCAGAACTGTGAATATAACAACTGTTCATTCTGAGGTTTAAATGAGGTAAAGTGCTCAGAACAGTGCTTGACACCTGGAGGAACTCAACGAATGTTTGCTTTTACTATTTTCCTCTCAAGGTGGAAGCTCCCTCTCCTTCATCTCAGCTGTCCTTTTTCCTAATGACACTTGACAGGACTTCTTGGTGAAGGACGGGAAGGCCCAGCAGCAACCCCGTGGGAGCGCCAGGCTGGGTGGGCCAAGAGGGAGAAGCCCTGGGGTCATGTCCTCTGCTGAGGAGAACAGAGTCCTCCCTATGGGTTTAGAGTTCATATCTTTGAAAGTTACTGTCTGTTCCAAGCAAGGGTGTTAGGCATTCCTGTTCCCTAAGGGACACTAGAACCAAGGACGCACGTGGTGGGAAAGTGCAGGAGGTCCATCCTCAGCTCCTGCTCTCAGAGGAGCCACCCCGGGAGGTGAGCTAAAGCTCAAAACCTGGTGCATCTGGTGCATGCAAACCTGCCTGCCTGGGTGTCCTAGAGGTTGTCCAAGGGGCCAAAAGCAGGGTGGGCTCCATGTTAAGAATGGGGTGGGGTAGGGTGGAGGGAGGGGTGTGCCTGAAGGCAATGCCTGCTCTCAGCAAGTTCCAGAAATGCCAGAGTGTGTCTTTCAGTGCCTTTAGGGTGCCTGGCCCCGACCAGCTTCCCTGACCATCAGCAGGCAGATCCAGCTCCTGTTCCAGGAGAACCCAGGGGGCTTCTTTGTGAAGGAGGAACTACAGAGAGGATGCATGGGCAGGCATGGCTGGGGGTGGGGACTTGAGTTTTATTTGGGGTCATTAAAACAAAAATTCACAGCAGCATCTGTGGGTGCCAGGGCCAGGGTGGGGGTGGAGGGAGGAGAAGGCGGCGGTGACAGCTCAGGAGGACAGGCCTGTGGATGGTCAGGTGCAGGCCCTGGGAGTGCGGCAATCCTGAAGCTCACATTCCTGGGCCAGTGCTCCTCCTGCAAGGGAGGGCAGGATCCGAGGCAGAGGGGTGCTCCTCAGGACCTCTGTGGCCGGCTTGCAGCTGTCTAGTTTCCCCCACTCTTGTCCTGGGAGAGAGAGTGACCTTCACACACAGATCTGGGCCCCCAGCCCCCAGTGGCCACCCTGAGTGGGGCGGGGTCTGGAGTCACCTATGCCCCTCTGCTCAGAGGTGGTCATTTGTGAGGGGACCTCATACTCAGGCTTAGGCAGCTACAGAAGGTCAAGAGGCGCCCCTTGTGGCTCTGGGACACTAGGAGGGAAGCACCTTGCTCACGGATGCCTAGTATAACCTTGGAGCACAGTTCCTACCTTCTCAGCCACTTCCTCCTCCTCTTTGGCCGCCTCGTCCCCCTGTGCGGGCGCAGGTTTCTCCAGGTCCTCCTGTGAGGAAACAAAGGGGATTGGGGCAATGTGGAGGGTGCAGAGCCCCCAGCTGCCCTGCCCCCAGGGCCTTTTCCATCCTGGCCTAAAAGATGAGCAGAGGGCCTCATCACCTTGCTGTGCGTGGAGGGTGGGAGGGGAGCCCGCCTGACCATGCTGGTGACAGAGCCTCATGTAAGAGCCCACAGCGGGCACTCTTTCTGATGATGCCAGGGCCTTCCAGGAGCCCAGCTTCACGCCCCCAAGCTAATGCAGAGTCTCTGGACAGTCCTTGATCATGTCTCCTTGATAGGAAGCTCTATGTGTGTATATGTGGTAGTGGTGGGGGTTGGGGTTTGATCCCAGAAACCCTAGGCCTGACCCCACCCTCAGCTCAGTCAATGAATAGCATGATCACACACCCTTGTCCTACTGAGCCCTCAAACAACTCTAGGAGGAGGAGCGTGTCATTACCATTTACGTGGGGACCTTGAGGCCAGGGAGGAGAGGAGTCTAGCTCAAGGCCTCAGAGCTCAAAGCAGTGAGGTTTGTGGGTATCAGGTCCAGCTTGCTTCAGGCCCATCCCCACCCCAGTAACCTAAGTGCCTCCGTCTTTCCTTCTTCTTGCCTTCTGGCTGGGCTCTGGGCCCAGGCTGGTCTACTAGGGCCAGCAGAGGTCATACGTCCTCTCCTACTTCCTGTCTCCTTCTGCCCCACTACACCCACTTGCCTGATATGGAGACCTGCCTGGGGGGTAGTCAAATGGGCAGGCAGGCCCAGACTGGGTCCTAGTCCCAGCACCTACTTATGGAAGGTCCTACCACCTCTTGGCTACCACTGGGCTGTCCTTGGTGGACTGGGGCTTAAAAGGCCACTGAACTGTGTCAGCCAGAGTTGAGGCATGCTCTCCAGGCATGGGGGTAGGGGGTAGGGGGTGGCCACCTGCCTGATCCTGCTGCCCCAAGGAGAGTGCACAAGGCCAGGGGCCTGAGCAGTCAGACAGGCAGTGCTGCATCCTTCTGCAGTTCACTGAAGGGTGAGTTGTGACTGGTTTTTGGGTGGCACCCGGAAATGTCTCTGTTGGGGCAGCCATTCCCATCCCAGGACCCGGGATGGCTCCAAGGGCTCACCAGCCCTTTGCCAAGGTCAAAGAGGAGTGTCCAAGCTCCCTCTCAGAGGCCAGAGGCAGCCTGCCCCCACCCTGGGACCTCACTGGCTGGGGGTAGGAGAGGGAGAGGCCTGGCTTCTCTGGGAGCACACCTGGGTGCCCCCGGGGGGGTGGTGATACAGTCACCTCCCTCTATTGGGTGCTCACCATGAGCCAGGCATGACTGCCTCATCACGCACCCCAGTGAGCTGGAGACTCTTGCCCCTCCCTCCACCCATTTTTACAGATGAGCAAATAGTGGTGCAGAGACGTTGAGTAGCTTCTCAAAGTCATACAGCCAGGAAACGGCAGAGCTGGGAATGAAGAGTGTGAGTGGCTGCTCCCCTCCAGGATACAGAGACTCTGCACTGGCCCTGGAAGCAAATGCCCAGGTGCTGTCTCCAGAGCAGGGGCCGCAACCCACTCCCTGGAGCAGGGGTCCTTGTGCTGGGTGCCTGGGACTCCACCGCCCTGCCCCCTGTGTGACCCCACCCCCACCCCCACTACCCGACACTCATGCAGAATCTCTCAGAGCACAGCCCAGAACCAGGCTGCCCTGGAATTGCAGGCTCACAGGGACTAGCCATTGACACGTTGCTTCATCTCTCTAGGCCTCATTTCCACACCACGCCATGGGATTTTGTGCTGATTAAATTATTTAAAGTACAAAATGCTTCAAGCAGAATCTGCTCTGTGGTGGGTGCTGGGACAGTCCACCCAGCTGCCTGCCACATCCTGAGAGTGCCCTTCAGCTCCTGTGCTCTCTGCTGCTGGGCTGCATGCAGGCACACAGGCATGCACAGGAACATGCGCCACACATGTGAACACACAATAGCAAAGGCACCAGGCAGGGTCCTAATTCTCACTGCTTTTCTGTCACCAGGGGGTGCTGCTTCCCTGCTCCTCCTGGGAGACGGCCGAGAGCCAGTCAGGCCCTGGGAAGGAGGCTGGACAATGACAGGGCACCGTGGGCCTAGGACGCTGCTGCCTGTCACCATGTGGGGCCCGCAGGACTCTGCTCTCACTAGTGAAGTGTGGTGTCTCCTGAATGCTCAGCACCATCAAGAGGGTATGGTTTTGAGTCTCACTTTCCAATTCGGCCCCAAACTGCTCCCCTCCCAGGGATGGGCTATGAGGATTTCAGCCATTAACAGGTATGAAAGCCCCGCGCACAGTCTCCATTTCCCTCTAGTCAATGGGATGATAATGCATCCTCCCCAGCTGGCTGCTCTGGGGCCCAGTGAAAAGGACGGGACTGTCTGGGAGCCAGGGCTCACCTTTTGCAACACTCCAGAGGAGACTGCGATGTTCTCTGCCTCCTCCACTGTCTTGGTGGCCACTGTATTGACGCTGGTGACCACAGCCTCGCTCACGGCACTGGCCTGCTCCTTGGTCTTCTCGGCCACTGGGAGAGGACTCTGGTCCTGACCCCTCCCCACCCAGGCCTGACCTGCCCAAGTCAGGCTGAGCAGCCCCTTGCCCAGGCCACCCAAAGCTCTGGCTCTGCCCAAGACTCCAGACTGCCTGCCCCCTTTCTGACCCCCGGGGAATTCTGGGGCTGATGGGGGGGGAAGCAGGAGGCACCCCCTGGGTCTAGCCTCCAGGTCTAGAGGTATCTGGGTCCACATACAACTTGGAACCCCAGGTTGCGGGTAGAGGTCCCTGGGCTTGAGCTTGCAGTCCCTGGAGGTCCCACCCCCCCAGGGCCCCTCACCTGAGGTCACACTCTGTACAACACCCTCCTTGGTCTTGGCTCCTGGGGAGGAAATGGAGACATCAGCCCAGACCCCCTTCTCCTGGTGTCGGGAGTGGGTGGGGGCAGACACACACAGAACAGCTGGACAAGCAGTGGGGTCAGTAGTAGGGGAGGATGGTGTATGGGGACCGGCAGTCCCTGCAAAGGCTGCTTCCTGCTGTGTCTGGAGGAAAGGGATGGATGGGAAGTGGGCAGGACAGGGGGATGAGAATGATCTGGCCTGAGGAAGGGTCTGGACCCCACCTGGGTGTGGCCTGGGTCTCAGAAGCAGCAGCAGGAGGAAGCTGCATTACGGGCTGGACCTCTTCTCAGGAGGGAGCTGAGGAGGGATGGGGCTGGGCTCCTCTGCGACTCAGTCTCGTCTCCCCAGCCCCAAGCTGGGCAGGGTGAGGACCTGTCACTCAGGCACAGAGGCTCCAGGCTCAGTGTGGCCACTTATCTGAATCAAGGGCCTTGCCAGGGAAGAGGGGGAGATGCTGGTGCATTTGTGCAAACATTTGTGTATACATTTGTGTGTCTCCACAGCTGAACATCCCTCTTGCTTCCCTGCCCCAGTGACCCCTGGGGCCCTGAGGAGGTCGAAAAGACACTGGTGTGTGCAGGAGAAGGGGGTACTCCAGGGCCCCGTGACTCTGGCTCCACAGCCAGGTTCTCATTCCCTCCCAAAATGCCTCCCTGGGGTGGCGGATAAGGTCAGGCTCCAGATAACCAGGCACCCAGGCTCGGCCAAGCTGCCCAGCCCTGCAGCTCTGCCACACCCACACTCACCCACATACATGACGCCCTCCTTGGTCTTCTCGGCCGCTTCTGTCACCCCCTGCTTGGTCTTCTCCACAGCACCCACCACGCCCTCCTTGGCAATGGAGAAGCCCTTTTTGAAAACATCCATGGTGGTGTGCAGGAACAGGAGCTTGGCTCTCCCCGTGATGTGCTGTCGGAGCTGGCGAGAGTGCTGCCGCAGCGGCTGGCCCTGCTGCTGCCTCTTATTGACGCCAGTGAAATATTGATGATGCGGCGGCTGGCTGGTGGGAGCTCTGCCAGCAGAGGGTGGGGGCGGGGACCGAGGAATGGAGGATGCCCGCCCTCACCTTCTCCCAGGGTGGGGTGCTCCCCGGGCCCCTGCTGGCTTAACCCTCCCCTCCAGCCCCCAGCCTCCCAGGAGGGGCTGCAGGGGACAGGACACAGCCTTATCCATCACTGCCCCTCATTAATTTGCTGCCCCACCCAGAGGGGCAAACCTGGCTGGGAGCTCTCAAGCCTGGAGCTGCTGTGTCTGTACATCTGGGGCAGAGAAAGAGTCTGAAGTGGGGGGATGGGCAGGGGGCAGGGGGCCTTTGCTACCAGCAGCCCAGGTAGGGTAGGGGTCTGGGCCACGCAGGCCTGTCAGGCAAGAGTGGCCAACCTCCCAGACCGGCCTGGGCTGCCCCGCTACACACCAGCACCTCGGATGGCCCCATCTCAGGGCCTTAGTGAGGTCAAGTGGAGGGCCGAGTGCAAGCCACACGAAGGGCTTCCCTGTGCCCTGGCCTCTGACTATAGACCATGTGACCCTTGGACAGCTCCTTTCTCTCCCTGAGTCTCCAACCACCTGCCAGCTCCCACAGCCCAGGGATGAAAGGTGCTGAATAGGCATGAGATGCCCACTTCCTGACCACCAGCACAGATGGGCAGCAAGTGTCCTGGGCCTGACCCGACCTCTTCCTGCAGCCCCACCTCAATGCTTGTGCTCTTCTCCTGACTCCCACGGGGACATGTTTGGTGGACCACCCACCCTGTGTCTCCCATGCCCTTGGTGTCTCTGACCAGAGTCCTCTCAGGGCACAGGAACTGGCCTGTGCTGCTGGCTGCCTCTGTGGGGGCCAGGCAGGGATGAGGGGGCCGGACGAGACTCACGGGGTAGGCCGGCCCAGGCCACTTCCTCTCTTTGTTGTTACTGTGCTTTTTTTTCTTTTCTGAAACTTAACTTGAAGACGACGTCACCATCACCAGCAGTTTCTGGAGTCACTTGCCGAGGCTAAGACTGTCCACTGCCAGTATGATCCTGACCCTGCTGCTCAGCCTTGGGGGGCCCCTAGGCTGGGGGCTGCTAGGGGCCTGGGCTCAGGCCCCAGGTACCAGGTTCTCTAATCCACACGGCCCCAGGCAACCTGGGGTCTGGAGCGCAGAGGCTGAGGACACCGGCAGGGGCCCCGTTGGACGGTAAGGAGGGCCTGGGCCTTGTGGGAGGTGGTGGTCTAGGATCTAAGTCCCAGCTCAGCCAGAACAGGGTCCCTCTGTCCTCAGGTACCCACTTGTGAAATGAGCTAATACCTATCCATTGGGCCAGCTGTGAGAATGAATCAGGTGCCAGGTGCCAGGACCCCCTCCGGAGGCCCCCCCAGCCAGCCTGGACTGGGCACCCCAGGGCCCAGGCTAAGCACTACGGGATGTTCCCTGCCTAACCCATAGTCAGGAAGGGACTGGGGAGCTGGGCAGGCTGGGAGTACTCCTTGCCACCGACCACCCAGTATGGGATGCTGAGAGGCTATGGCTCCAGATAGTCCCAACTGGCCTGGCAGTGACTCCTGTTCTTTGAAGTAAGTCAGTTCTGAAAGCTGAGCCCAGGCAAGCTGGCCTGGCCTGAACCAGAGAGGACAGATGCTCTTGGGGACTGGATTTTGATCTGAGCACCCAGGGGGACTGGTGTGGGCCAGTCTGGCCCTAGGAGCCAAGCAACGAGTGAACAGAGTGCCCTGCTCTATTTCCAGAACAAAAAGGAGGCCACAGATTCAACAAAGTATACTACCATACCCCTCTGGAAATGGGCTGAATGGTCTTGTGACTGGACCAGGACACCATTTCCCAGTCTCACTTGCCCAGGGCCAGTGATCCTCTACTGGTAAGGTCCTGGGCCCACAAGGCCCTCCTCAGAGTATGCCACAGCACCACAGCATGTGCCACTGACTGGGCCCATCTCTGGGCTGGCCACCTTACCACGTGTTATCTCAGTTAATCCTTCCAACAGCCTGGTCTGTAACAGGCAGAGCCTGAGGCTCAGAGAGGCTAAACACCTGGCCCCAGGTCACACAGCTAAGGAGAGCTGGAACCAGGATCTGAGTTCACACATCACTCCAGATATCATTCTCTGAATCCCAGAGCACTCTGAGGCAGCCCCAGCCCCCGGATTCACCTATCCCCACCTCCCTCGCTTTCCCCACTGCCATACACACACACGCAGACTTGGTTGAGGGCATCACTGTATCTTGGTTGAGCATAAGAGGGACCAGCTGACACCCACTCAGAGTCACCCATCTGGCTGAGATGCACCATCACGCTGGCTTACTGAGTGGATCTGCCTTGAACAGTTCTGTACAGCTCTGACACTCCAAGGGGAATGTGTTTGTTAGACACTTTTCTGAAAGCCAGTTCGGCCAGAGAGAGGCAGGAGGGTGACAGACCGAGTGCAGTGACCCTCGGTGAGGAGGGGCTGGCTGTATGTGGGGAGTGGCGCAAAAGATGAACCTGGGGAGACCCTATCCCTGTCTGACCCCCAGTTGTGCTCAGAGCCGAGGGCACAGGTGACTTGGTGGGGGAATCCCCCAGTCAACTCCAATTTCAGGACCAAGGACCACACCTTCTGTCCCCAAAGCTCCAAGCCTCTGTCTCCAGGCTGCCTTGCCTCCCTTTGATGGAAGGGAGGATGAGGGGCCCAAGTGGGTGGGAAGGAGCTAGGAGACTCTCCTCATTCTTAGCACCCCTGGGGTTCTAGGGAGGTACTGTGCTCCCTTAGCCCCAGAGAGAGAGGGCCTCTGGGCTGCTCGTGGGCTGCCCTGTGGGCTCACTCAGCCGTTCTCTGGCTGGTCCTGGTGTGTGCACACAAGGGCACCCTGGCCCAAGAATGCCCAAGAATGCCCAGGCAGATGTCCCAAGCCCTGGTCCCAGGGGAGTCCAGGTCTGCTGGGTCTTCTCCCCACAGCCCAGAAGCTGTGGTCCCCACAGCCAAGCCCAGGCTGTCCAGGCCCCTGAGGGGCTGGTGAGAAAGGAAGGAAATGCTGTGCGGCTTCCTTGGGCTGATTGCTTCCTGTGCTCCTGTGAAGGGAGAGGCGGAAATGCTGCCCCACCTTCCCGCTATGACGGGGTAGGGAAGGTGGAGCACCCACCCCATCAGCACAAGCCAGGTGGACCCCCCACCCCCACCCCGGCTGCCAGAACCAGGCCTTCTGTCCTGCATTTGCCCCTCACACCTGTGTCCTCAGCCCCAGGGCCAGGGCAGGCCTTGGACACAGACCCAGATACGGCCATTTGCAAGAAGTTCCAACAGAACAGCTTGGTGCCCAATGGCAGGTCCTGAGGTAGAGGAGGGACATGGTTAAATACCTCCCAGGGCCTCGGAGCCCCTGTGGGGCTGGGCCCAGTGAGCAACAATGTGGGTATTTGGACTCCATAGTGAGAGGCTCTTTCCTGGCTCCNTGACACGTTGCTTCATCTCTCTAGGCCTCATTTCCACACCACGCCATGGGATTTTGTGCTGATTAAATTATTTAAAGTACAAAATGCTTCAAGCAGAATCTGCTCTGTGGTGGGTGCTGGGACAGTCCACCCAGCTGCCTGCCACATCCTGGGAGTGCCCTTCAGCTCCTGTGCTCTCTGCTGCTGGGCTGCATGCAGGCACACAGGCATGCACAGGAACATGCGCCACACATGTGAACACACAATAGCAAAGGCACCAGGCAGGGTCCTAATTCTCACTGCTTTTCTGTCACCAGGGGGTGCTGCTTCCCTGCTCCTCCTGGGAGACGGCCGAGAGCCAGTCAGGCCCTGGGAAGGAGGCTGGACAATGACAGGGCACCGTGGGCCTAGGACGCTGCTGCCTGTCACCATGTGGGGCCCGCAGGACTCTGCTCTCACTAGTGAAGTGTGGTGTCTCCTGAATGCTCAGCACCATCAAGAGGGTATGGTTTTGAGTCTCACTTTCCAATTCGGCCCCAAACTGCTCCCCTCCCAGGGATGGGCTATGAGGATTTCAGCCATTAACAGGTATGAAAGCCCCGCGCACAGTCTCCATTTCCCTCTAGTCAATGGGATGATAATGCATCCTCCCCAGCTGGCTGCTCTGGGGCCCAGTGAAAAGGACGGGACTGTCTGGGAGCCAGGGCTCACCTTTTGCAACACTCCAGAGGAGACTGCGATGTTCTCTGCCTCCTCCACTGTCTTGGTGGCCACTGTATTGACGCTGGTGACCACAGCCTCGCTCACGGCACTGGCCTGCTCCTTGGTCTTCTCGGCCACTGGGAGAGGACTCTGGTCCTGACCCCTCCCCACCCAGGCCTGACCTGCCCAAGTCAGGCTGAGCAGCCCCTTGCCCAGGCCACCCAAAGCTCTGGCTCTGCCCAAGACTCCAGACTGCCTGCCCCCTTTCTGACCCCCGGGGAATTCTGGGGCTGATGGGGGGGGAAGCAGGAGGCACCCCCTGGGTCTAGCCTCCAGGTCTAGAGGTATCTGGGTCCACATACAACTTGGAACCCCAGGTTGCGGGTAGAGGTCCCTGGGCTTGAGCTTGCAGTCCCTGGAGGTCCCACCCCCCCAGGGCCCCTCACCTGAGGTCACACTCTGTACAACACCCTCCTTGGTCTTGGCTCCTGGGGAGGAAATGGAGACATCAGCCCAGACCCCCTTCTCCTGGTGTCGGGAGTGGGTGGGGGCAGACACACACAGAACAGCTGGACAAGCAGTGGGGTCAGTAGTAGGGGAGGATGGTGTATGGGGACCGGCAGTCCCTGCAAAGGCTGCTTCCTGCTGTGTCTGGAGGAAAGGGATGGATGGGAAGTGGGCAGGACAGGGGGATGAGAATGATCTGGCCTGAGGAAGGGTCTGGACCCCACCTGGGTGTGGCCTGGGTCTCAGAAGCAGCAGCAGGAGGAAGCTGCATTACGGGCTGGACCTCTTCTCAGGAGGGAGCTGAGGAGGGATGGGGCTGGGCTCCTCTGCGACTCAGTCTCGTCTCCCCAGCCCCAAGCTGGGCAGGGTGAGGACCTGTCACTCAGGCACAGAGGCTCCAGGCTCAGTGTGGCCACTTATCTGAATCAAGGGCCTTGCCAGGGAAGAGGGGGAGATGCTGGTGCATTTGTGCAAACATTTGTGTATACATTTGTGTGTCTCCACAGCTGAACATCCCTCTTGCTTCCCTGCCCCAGTGACCCCTGGGGCCCTGAGGAGGTCGAAAAGACACTGGTGTGTGCAGGAGAAGGGGGTACTCCAGGGCCCCGTGACTCTGGCTCCACAGCCAGGTTCTCATTCCCTCCCAAAATGCCTCCCTGGGGTGGCGGATAAGGTCAGGCTCCAGATAACCAGGCACCCAGGCTCGGCCAAGCTGCCCAGCCCTGCAGCTCTGCCACACCCACACTCACCCACATACATGACGCCCTCCTTGGTCTTCTCGGCCGCTTCTGTCACCCCCTGCTTGGTCTTCTCCACAGCACCCACCACGCCCTCCTTGGCAATGGAGAAGCCCTTTTTGAAAACATCCATGGTGGTGTGCAGGAACAGGAGCTTGGCTCTCCCCGTGATGTGCTGTCGGAGCTGGCGAGAGTGCTGCCGCAGCGGCTGGCCCTGCTGCTGCCTCTTATTGACGCCAGTGAAATATTGATGATGCGGCGGCTGGCTGGTGGGAGCTCTGCCAGCAGAGGGTGGGGGCGGGGACCGAGGAATGGAGGATGCCCGCCCTCACCTTCTCCCAGGGTGGGGTGCTCCCCGGGCCCCTGCTGGCTTAACCCTCCCCTCCAGCCCCCAGCCTCCCAGGAGGGGCTGCAGGGGACAGGACACAGCCTTATCCATCACTGCCCCTCATTAATTTGCTGCCCCACCCAGAGGGGCAAACCTGGCTGGGAGCTCTCAAGCCTGGAGCTGCTGTGTCTGTACATCTGGGGCAGAGAAAGAGTCTGAAGTGGGGGGATGGGCAGGGGGCAGGGGGCCTTTGCTACCAGCAGCCCAGGTAGGGTAGGGGTCTGGGCCACGCAGGCCTGTCAGGCAAGAGTGGCCAACCTCCCAGACCGGCCTGGGCTGCCCCGCTACACACCAGCACCTCGGATGGCCCCATCTCAGGGCCTTAGTGAGGTCAAGTGGAGGGCCGAGTGCAAGCCACACGAAGGGCTTCCCTGTGCCCTGGCCTCTGACTATAGACCATGTGACCCTTGGACAGCTCCTTTCTCTCCCTGAGTCTCCAACCACCTGCCAGCTCCCACAGCCCAGGGATGAAAGGTGCTGAATAGGCATGAGATGCCCACTTCCTGACCACCAGCACAGATGGGCAGCAAGTGTCCTGGGCCTGACCCGACCTCTTTCTGCAGCCCCACCTCAATGCTTGTGCTCTTCTCCTGACTCCCACGGGGACATGTTTGGTGGACCACCCACCCTGTGTCTCCCATGCCCTTGGTGTCTCTGACCAGAGTCCTCTCAGGGCACAGGAACTGGCCTGTGCTGCTGGCTGCCTCTGTGGGGGCCAGGCAGGGATGAGGGGGCCGGACGAGACTCACGGGGTAGGCCGGCCCAGGCCACTTCCTCTCTTTGTTGTTACTGTGCTTTTTTTTCTTTTCTGAAACTTAACTTGAAGACGACGTCACCATCACCAGCAGTTTCTGGAGTCACTTGCCGAGGCTAAGACTGTCCACTGCCAGTATGATCCTGACCCTGCTGCTCAGCCTTGGGGGGCCCCTAGGCTGGGGGCTGCTAGGGGCCTGGGCTCAGGCCCCAGGTACCAGGTTCTCTAATCCACACGGCCCCAGGCAACCTGGGGTCTGGAGCGCAGAGGCTGAGGACACCGGCAGGGGCCCCGTTGGACGGTAAGGAGGGCCTGGGCCTTGTGGGAGGTGGTGGTCTAGGATCTAAGTCCCAGCTCAGCCAGAACAGGGTCCCTCTGTCCTCAGGTACCCACTTGTGAAATGAGCTAATACCTATCCATTGGGCCAGCTGTGAGAATGAATCAGGTGCCAGGTGCCAGGACCCCCTCCGGAGGCCCCCCCAGCCAGCCTGGACTGGGCACCCCAGGGCCCAGGCTAAGCACTACGGGATGTTCCCTGCCTAACCCATAGTCAGGAAGGGACTGGGGAGCTGGGCAGGCTGGGAGTACTCCTTGCCACTGACCACCCAGTATGGGATGCTGAGAGGCTATGGCTCCAGATAGTCCCAACTGGCCTGGCAGTGACTCCTGTTCTTTGAAGTAAGTCAGTTCTGAAAGCTGAGCCCAGGCAAGCTGGCCTGGCCTGAACCAGAGAGGACAGATGCTCTTGGGGACTGGATTTTGATCTGAGCACCCAGGGGGACTGGTGTGGGCCAGTCTGGCCCTAGGAGCCAAGCAACGAGTGAACAGAGTGCCCTGCTCTATTTCCAGAACAAAAAGGAGGCCACAGATTCAACAAAGTATACTACCATACCCCTCTGGAAATGGGCTGAATGGTCTTGTGACTGGACCAGGACACCATTTCCCAGTCTCACTTGCCCAGGGCCAGTGATCCTCTACTGGTAAGGTCCTGGGCCCACAAGGCCCTCCTCAGAGTATGCCACAGCACCACAGCATGTGCCACTGACTGGGCCCATCTCTGGGCTGGCCACCTTACCACGTGTTATCTCAGTTAATCCTTCCAACAGCCTGGTCTGTAACAGGCAGAGCCTGAGGCTCAGAGAGGCTAAACACCTGGCCCCAGGTCACACAGCTAAGGAGAGCTGGAACCAGGATCTGAGTTCACACATCACTCCAGATATCATTCTCTGAATCCCAGAGCACTCTGAGGCAGCCCCAGCCCCCGGATTCACCTATCCCCACCTCCCTCGCTTTCCCCACTGCCATACACACACACGCAGACTTGGTTGAGGGCATCACTGTATCTTGGTTGAGCATAAGAGGGACCAGCTGACACCCACTCAGAGTCACCCATCTGGCTGAGATGCACCATCACGCTGGCTTACTGAGTGGATCTGCCTTGAACAGTTCTGTACAGCTCTGACACTCCAAGGGGAATGTGTTTGTTAGACACTTTTCTGAAAGCCAGTTCGGCCAGAGAGAGGCAGGAGGGTGACAGACCGAGTGCAGTGACCCTCGGTGAGGAGGGGCTGGCTGTATGTGGGGAGTGGCGCAAAAGATGAACCTGGGGAGACCCTATCCCTGTCTGACCCCCAGTTGTGCTCAGAGCCGAGGGCACAGGTGACTTGGTGGGGGAATCCCCCAGTCAACTCCAATTTCAGGACCAAGGACCACACCTTCTGTCCCCAAAGCTCCAAGCCTCTGTCTCCAGGCTGCCTTGCCTCCCTTTGATGGAAGGGAGGATGAGGGGCCCAAGTGGGTGGGAAGGAGCTAGGAGACTCTCCTCATTCTTAGCACCCCTGGGGTTCTAGGGAGGTACTGTGCTCCCTTAGCCCCAGAGAGAGAGGGCCTCTGGGCTGCTCGTGGGCTGCCCTGTGGGCTCACTCAGCCGTTCTCTGGCTGGTCCTGGTGTGTGCACACAAGGGCACCCTGGCCCAAGAATGCCCAAGAATGCCCAGGCAGATGTCCCAAGCCCTGGTCCCAGGGGAGTCCAGGTCTGCTGGGTCTTCTCCCCACAGCCCAGAAGCTGTGGTCCCCACAGCCAAGCCCAGGCTGTCCAGGCCCCTGAGGGGCTGGTGAGAAAGGAAGGAAATGCTGTGCGGCTTCCTTGGGCTGATTGCTTCCTGTGCTCCTGTGAAGGGAGAGGCGGAAATGCTGCCCCACCTTCCCGCTATGACGGGGTAGGGAAGGTGGAGCACCCACCCCATCAGCACAAGCCAGGTGGACCCCCCACCCCCACCCCGGCTGCCAGAACCAGGCCTTCTGTCCTGCATTTGCCCCTCACACCTGTGTCCTCAGCCCCAGGGCCAGGGCAGGCCTTGGACACAGACCCAGATACGGCCATTTGCAAGAAGTTCCAACAGAACAGCTTGGTGCCCAATGGCAGGTCCTGAGGTAGAGGAGGGACATGGTTAAATACCTCCCAGGGCCTCGGAGCCCCTGTGGGGCTGGGCCCAGTGAGCAACAATGTGGGTATTTGGACTCCATAGTGAGAGGCTCTTTCCTGGCTCCCTGGCTTTGGTGGGGTTGGGGAGAGCAGCAGCTCAGGATGATCTGGCTCCTCAGCACCAGGACCTGCTTCCCCTGCAGGGTTAGCCTGAATTGGGGGGCCGAGCTGAGTCCCAGGCAAGGTGCCCCATCTCTGCATTATTGCTGCAAGGTCACCACTCTCCTCTCCACTTTACACGTGAGGCTCACAAGGAATGGGGTTGCCACCTAGGGCCTCACAGCTCCTAAATGACAGGTCAGAGCCAGGTCCCCCCACATTTGTTGGACTGAAAATCCCAGGCCTCCTCTGTCCTGTCTCCCACAAAATGGGTGGGAGTGTAGGAGATGCTGGCAGATCCTGGCACCCAGCATCAGCTTATTTGATCCACGCACAAGGAATGGTTGTGATTTCTGAGCAGGAGCTCTCGCCCAGAGCTGTTACATGAATCCCTGGAGGTCACACAGGGGCCAAGTAGAGCCCAGGCCACCAGTTACTGCCCACAGCCATACCTCCTGCACCTGTTCCTGCTCTCTGAGGTGTAGGGCCCTGGGCACACTTAGGGGACCTTTGCTCTGGGCTGGGTGCCGAGTGGGCCTCAGGCTCCTCCACTAAGGCCCCTTTCTGGCTCAGACACAAAGCCCTGCAAAATTGTCCCTTGGAGTGATCACAGCCATGACTGCGTTTAGGGCCTCAGAAAGTGAGGAGGCTGAGAACAAGCCCTCCCTCCCCAGGAAGACTTGAGGGGCAATCAGAGGCATGTTTTACTGGCACTTAAATGTCCCAAAGGACAGGAGCAGCAGCTTATCCATAATTCAGGAGGCTCCAGCTAACAGACCTTTCCCTGCTAGAGGCTCTCTGCCTTCTCCACAGCCCCTCCCCCTCCCCCCAGGGAGGGGCCTGAAGTGGGAATCCACTCCATTTTTCCAGTACTGGGGGAAGGGCCTTGCTCAAGGTCATCCTGAGTCCAGGGAGGGGAGGGGAGAAGAGCCCAGGCCTCCCAGCTCCTATTGGAAGCTCCAGAGGGGCCAGCAGATGCTCTCCTACCTGGGGCAGGGTATCAGGGCCATATCAGAGGCCAAGACAAACCCAGCTGAAGGACCCTGCACTCATTTCTGGGCCAGTGCCTGCCTGTCAGTGGAACCTAGGGAAATGAGGGGGCCAATGGGGTGCAGGCCTGAGAGGGAGGCAGTGAGAACAGTGGGGCGCCTCAGCAAACTGGGCAGGGGGCTCTGGCTCAGAGGGCCAGCCAGAGCTGCCAAGAGCTGGAGAAAAGCAAAGCAAAGATCAGGAATGTTCCCAGGGCTTCTGGGCCAGCAGCCTATGCTGTGCCAAAGAGACAGGGTTGCCAAGGGAAGGGGGAGCGTAGGCGGGAGAATAGTGGCTGCTGGAGCCCCCGGTTTGGGCAGGTCAGAAGAGAAAGTTCCTGGGCAGGAAGGGTGGGCAGCACTGCTTCCTGTTCCAGGAGCTTGAGGTGGAAAGTCCCAGTCACTCCCTGGCAGGCGGTGCGCCCAGGCCACAAGCCTGCTGGACCCTCTGCTCAGCAAGAGGATGAGCAAGGAAGGGAACATTGTCCAGTGCCAGTGTCTCTCAGCCTTGGCACTGTTGGCATTTGGGACTGGCTAATTCTTCATTGTGGGGCACTGGGCTGCCCTGTGGGTATCATAGGATGTTTAGCAACATTCTTGGTCCCCACCCACTAGATGCCAGAACCACCCCCTCCCTCCCAGTAGCGACAACCATAAATGTCTCCAGAGGTCACCAGATGCACTGGGGGTAAGTCCCTGCTCCTCCCGTTGAGAACCCTAGTTTAGAGAAACACTTTTCTCTAGGGCTGAGCCCAGGTTCCAGGAATTTCCAATGGGGTCCAGGGTGGGGGCTGGAATTTCTAATCCTTGGAACATCTCGCCCACCAGCCTAGAGCTTTCACAGTCCACTGTTTCAGAGTGAGTGAATGAACATTCTTTCCTTAAAATCAGGGCCAGTTTCATGGGTATGTGACCTGAGAGGCTGTGCTCTTGGTTTAATTTCTGTTGTTGTATTTTCATTTTGCACTGGACCCCACAAATTCTGAAGTTAGTCTTGTGTTAAATATTTACTATCTGTCCTTTTATAGAAAACTTTGCTGACTGTTTGGGTTACCAGAGTCAAACCTTCTACAGATTGGCTGAGACAATCAGAAGACCCAGCTCCCTTTGGTCCCTGAAAGCAACGACTTTCAACACTTTAGGCGATTTTGTTCAGCATTTACCTCTGTATCTCAAAATAACATGCTTATATTGCTACTTCTTGGGAAGTGGCATTATGATTCAGCTCTCGTTCCTGCTCCATACCCCAACCCCGATGAACATGCCTACAAACAGGAGTGAGCACCTGTGCACACACATGTGCACATGCCCTTCCCAGCCATAGTCCCTTATTGTCATTCCTATGACTATACATACTATTTATATTCATATGACTGCATTTGCTACTTAGACTTGAGGCTTGAAAAAACAATGAATTTCCCCCCTCGACACCCGCACACTTTGGGTTTTCCCTGGAGTAAATAATTGCCTTTTTTTTTTTCTGCCTAGTTTTCTGTGTCTTTGCCACTACTCAATTCCAAACTCCTGGCCAGTTGTCAACTTCTGCTCTCTCCTTTCATCCATGTCAGTTGTTTGAACCCCTGTGGCTTCTTGGAGACCCTTTTCTCCAAGGAGCTCCAGTGGTGCCCCAGTCCAGACTGGGCCCTCACCCACTGCCCATTATTGTCCTGCCCCCCCTGCCCACCCCACACACCATCTCCCTAGGGAATCCCGTCACCTCATTTCTCTGCTACAACGTCTGTTCCCATGCTGTGCTTTCCTCTTTCTTGGCTTTCTTTCGTCTTTAGGTGGATCACTTCTGGTACAGTGATGTTCAGTCCTGGGCTGTGCCTTAGAATGACCCAGCCAGCTTCTAAATGCTAGTACCCAGGCCAGAACCCCAGAGAATCTCACTTAACTGGCCTGGTGTGTGGCCCAGAGGCTTTTACTTTTAAAGTGATGCAGAATGGTTTTGATGTAAAGATTTGATGGCAAAATTTTGAACCACACTGCTCTAGCAGCTTCCTGATGAGGGTCACAGGGAGGGTAATGTTATGAAACCCAGCTTACTGAAAATGTCTTTATTCTGCTCTCCTTATACAGATTGGTAGTTAGGGTTGGAACAGGATTCTACACTGGAAATAATTTTCCTTCAGTTCTTGAAGGCAATTCTCCACTGTGTTCTAGTTTCTGGTGTTGCTGTTGAGAGGTTCAAGGCCATTCTAATTACCTTATGTGTGTGTCTTGGTTTTTATCTCCGAAAAGTGTAGAATCACCTTCATTGTCAGTGTTCTAAAATTTCATGATGATATGAGTTTATTTTCATCATATTTTGGGTAATTGGTGAGCCCTTAAAATCTTAAAATTCAAGCCCTTCAATTCTGGTATATTTGCTGAGTTTTTTCATTGATGATTTCCTCCCTCTGTTATCTCTTTCTGGAACTCCTGTTGTTTGAATGTTGGACTTCCAACACTGGTCCTTTATTTTTCTGATCTTTTCTCTCCTATTTTCCATCTCTCTTTGCTCTTCTTTTAGGGAAATTTCTTTCACTTTACCTTCTAGCATTTGTGTTAAATTTCTTTTGCATTTCTGCTGCTTTTTTTTTTATTTCCAGCGGTTCTTTTTTGTTCACTGAATTTTTTTTTCAAAAATATTTTTTTGTTCAACGGAATATTCAGTTGTTCTTTTATACCTCTCTGTTCTTGTTTCTTGGATGCAGTAACGTCACTTTTCAATCTGGGGATGTCATCACAAATCTGGAGAAAGTTTTCTTCTCCCTGCCACCTTGGTTTTCTCCAAGTTTTCTTCTGTTTGCTTGTTTTGACTTCCCTCTTTTGCAATAGAAATTTTCCTCAGCGATCATCCTTGGATGTCTGCCTGCTACAGAGTAGAGAGCCTGCAAAGCAGACTGGAAGCTCAGTGCATGGGTGGGACTTTCTGATTTCTTTTGTCATAGGATGCTCTTCTGGCCTGTTTCACTGGGGGAAACCCTGATGTCATCGTCTTTAGATCTCTCTTCTTGAGTGGGATCATTTTCTCAGCTGGCTGCCAAGAGGGTAAAGGCTGGCTACCAGACTTCTAGGAGCCAAATGGGAAAGCAGCTTGGAGGTCTCAGCCCTCAAAGTAAATGTGGTCACCCTATCTCCCTCAATCCTTTCCCCTACCCTCCCCAGCAGTATCCCTGTCATGGCCCCAGGACACAGATCCACCATGTGAATGAAATCCTAGCTCTCAGGGCCACTTCATCTCCAAGGTCCCTGAACACTGCCTTCGACTATCTCACAAATCTGGCTACTTCTCTCCACATCCACCAGCATCACCCAGTGCGAGCTGCTGGCATCTTCCACCTAGGTCCCTTTCCTGTCCTTTCTGCGCCCAGGAACCAGGGTAGTGCATTTGTGTCACTTCCCTGCTTAAACTCCTCTCTGATGTCCCTTGTTTTCAGGACACCATAGTCCAGCTCCTCGGCTGGCACTCCAGGCCTCCATAGTCTTGTTTCTCCTTACCTCTCCTCTGCAACCCTGGGCACCTCAGTGGGGCCATACACACTCTGTCACTGCTCCTGGTGCCAAATTATCACCTTCTCCTGAAAGTCTCCCCAGGTCTTAGTGCCCACTCCACCATCCGAGATTGCCTGCTCTCCCTGGGGACCATGAAGGGAAGGCCTGTTCCTCTGTATCTGCACAGAGTGCTGCTGCACTTGAGCCCAGCACCCGGTACCCAAGAGTTGCTGAGCTGAACTGAGCCAAAGCTGAACATTGCCACTTGCAGCTCTGGAGAGCTCTGCTTTGAGAGCTGACTGCCAGGGGAAGGACCTTCTGACCCCTTCTACTGAGCCCATCAAGCCTACCACTGGATCAGTGAGCATACTGCTCCTGGGACCAGCAACACCGTGCACTGGTGAAGGGCCCAGATGGACGGGCTACCTCACCCCCTAGGTGTTCAGGATGCTGAGTGCGCCTTCCAAACCACCCTCTAGGACCTCAGCGTGGGTGGCCTTTTCCAGAGAAGGGACCGCTCAGCCCAGCTGCCTTCCCCCACAACTGTTTGAAGGTGTATTTCCTTAACAGAGTGGTTGAGCAGGGCCAGGGAACAGGCATCCTCCCAGCTCAGGGCCTGTGGTGAGGAAAGGTGTCGGTGGTGGGGCAGCGCCGCAGTGTTTATGGAGCTTGTTGAGAGTCAGGCCCATGATACTCCTCTGCCCACTGGGAGGGCGGCAGCACATTTGATCTCCCTCAGATAAATGGGAGGTGGAAACTCCCTAAGTGCTTCACCCAAAGTCACACAGCCAGGGAAGTGGAAAGGATTTGAACCCAGGACTCTCCAGCCCCAGCAGCCCCATGCTGCCTCCCTGGCACCAGGAGAAAAGTAAGAGCCCTTTCTGGCTCTGTGGGTAATTTTAGAGGTGTGTGTGATTTTAGAGGTGCTCCTCAGCCTGTCTGTGCTGAGCCATGTCAGGTGGGGATGGGGCAGGGTGGGGGGCGATGGCATGCTGCTTCCAGGAAGGCAGTGGAACAGGGGCTCTTGCAGGTGGGCTTCGCAGAGGTTTTGCCCTGGATCTGGGAGATGACAACACAGAACACACCCTTCTCAGGATAATGGATTCCAGAATCCCACCATTGGGTGGGATAGGGAGGCAAGGGTACAGCAGTCTGCACTGACACCCACTGTTGACCTCCAGGAAGGGCTGTGGGGGGCCTAGGCATGGCTCAACAGCCCTGTCTTCTGGCTTGTTTATTCCAGTAACTGGTGCCCCTACCAGAAGTCCAGACTAGTCACCTTCATTGCCGCTTGCAAAACAGAGAAATTCCACATCCACAAGCAGCAGCCATGCCCACAGGGAGCTCTGGACTGCCAGAAAGTCAAAGTCATGTGAGTGGGGCAGGGTGGGAGGGCAGGCCCCTCATCCAGGCCCTCTGCTAGCTCACTATGGAGTTGCTGAGCTGGCCTTCTTTCCCCAGGTACCGCGTGGCACTCAAGCCAGTGTACCGGGTCAAGCAGAAGGTGCTGTCCTCCGTGGCCTGGAGGTGCTGCCCAGGCTTTGCAGGCCCTGACTGCCAGTACCATGGTAGGATTCCCTGTGGCCCCCATCTTCTTCAACTTCTGACCCCAGAGGTCATGCAGCTCTTCTCTAAATTCTGGGGTCAATATCTGTTGTCTCCTCTATGCAGACCCTACTGCGATCCCTGAGCCTGCAGATCCAGATGATGACTTCCAGGAGCCTTGGGACGGGCACGCTGCCCTAGAACATGGTACACTGCTTTTCTGGACAGTGCAGGGGACAGGCAGGCAGAAAGAACCCATGTGTCCAGGCCCTTTCTCCTCTGATAGGGCAGAGCCCTTTCGGGAGACCTGTGCCCCCAGAATCAGCAAGGGCCCCTCTGTGTCTCGTATTACCAACCCTCACACCAAGGAGGCCAGGTTCACAGGGCTCAGTTTCCTGCCTGCTGGCTAAGCACACACACCTGCTTCCCTGATCACATTTTCTGGGAAGGACAGCTTAATTTTATTTTTTATTTTTTATTTTTTATTAAGGTATGATTGATATATACTCTTATGAAGGTTTCCCATGAAAAAACAATGTGGTTACTACATTTACCCATATTATCAAGTCCCCACCCATACCCCAGTGCAGTCACTGTCCATCAGTGCAGCAAGTTGCCAGAGATCCACTATGTCCCTTCTCTGTGATACACTGTTCTCCCTGTGATCCCCCACACCATGTGTACTAAACATAATACCCCTCAGTCCCCTTCTCCCTCCCTCCCCACCCACCCTCCCACACCCCTCCCCTTTGGTAACCACTAGTTCGTTCTTAGAGAAGGACAGCTTAATTTGGCACGTCCCCCCTCCTGAACTACACAAGCTCCCATGGCTGGGAAGAAGCACTCTCCCACCCCACTGCCTGCCAGCTACGCACTGGGGCCAGGAAGTCATGCTATCCCTGGTCTTCAGTAACCACAGGAGAAGCACCAAGAGATGCAATTTGAGAGGCTTTTCGAGGCTAGGCCATGGATCGGGATGGTAAATGAGTTTCCTTGTGTGGTGAACTTCTATCTATTGGCACGGGCTGCCTCAAGTGATGCTGAGAGGCTACGTCCATGTTACACTGAGGAGAGTGTACCGTGGTCGATTAGTCATGTCTGCTGTGAGTTGGGGGTCCAGGGTGAGAACTCATTTGCCATGTTTCTGCCCTTCTGGAGCTAAAAGCTTCTAAGATCCTGTCAGAGGACATCAGCACACACTTCCCTGCTCTCAACTTCAAAATTTCCTTCTCAGACCTCATGATCTTTCCAGTCCTGGGAAGTTAGACCTTGGCACTTTATTTCTCATGTGTATTCAGGCCACCCAGCTGCAGAAATCAGCAATATCGTGGTGCAGCAGGAACGCCTGCTGGGAGATGTGCAGAATGACATTTACCAGATGGCAGACAGCCTCCCAGGACTGTGGAAGGCCCTGGCAAGCAACCTCACAGCTGCCACAACTGAGGCAAATCAGACAGAACTTGGTGAGCAGCAGACTCTTGAGCCTGGTCACATCCAAGGGGATGAATGGGAGGGGAGGCAAGAATGCCCAAATCTCAGAGGACCCCCCCTCTAGTCCCTGCCTGGACAGGGATGTCCGCTCCTCCAGGGCTTATGTGAAAATGTGTGTCTATTGCAGAGTTTCCTGACAGATCCTTGGATCAAGTGCTGCCCCACATGGACACCTTCCTGCAAGTGCATTTCAGCCCCATATGGAGGAGTTTCAACCAAAGCCTGCACGGCCTGTTCCAGGCCATCAGAAACCTATCTCTTGACGTGGAGGCCAACCGACAGGCCATCAAGAGGGTCCAGGAGAACACTGTGGCCAGGGCCGACTTCCAGGAGCTCAGTGCCAAATTTGAGACCAAGGTCCAGGAGAATGCCCAGAAAGTGGGTCAGCTGCGGCAGGATGTGGAGGACCGCCTGCATGCCCAGGGCCTTTTCCTGCACCAGTCCCTCTCTGAGATCCAGGTGAACATGGACACCAAGGTGAAGAGGCTCCTTAAGGCCCAGGAGCCCCTGGGAGCCAATGGCAGTCTGGCAGGGGTGGCAGGGGCAGGGGCAAGGCCGGAGCCTGAAAGCCTACAGGCCAGGCTGGGCCAGCTTCAGAGGAACCTCTCAGCGCTGCACGTGGCCACTGGCCAAAGGGAAGAGGCACTGCAGAGCACCCTGGCATATGTGAGGGCGGCCCTGGCCCAGCACGAGGCTGAGATCAAGGAGCTGTACTCAGAGTCCGATGAGACCTTCGATCAGATCAGCAAGGTGGAGCGGCAGATGGAGGAGCTGCAGGTGAACCACACGGCGCTGCGGGAGCTGCGGGTGATCCTGATGGAGAAGTCACTGATCATGGAGGAGAACAAGGAGGAGATGGAGCGGCAGATCCTGGAGCTCAACCTCACCCTCCAGCATCTGCAGGGAGCCCATGCCGACCTCATCAAGTACGTCAAGGACTGCAACTGCCAGAAGCTCTACTTCGACCTGGACGTCATCCGGGAGGACCAGCGGGACACTACGCGGGCCCTGGAGGAGACGCAGGTGAGCCTGGATGAGCGGCGCCAGCAGGACGGCATCTCCCTGCAGGCCCTGAGCAGCACGGTGACCGCCCTGTCGCTGGCCGTGGACGCCGGCAAGGCGGAGGGAGAGCGGGCGCGGGCCGACTTGGCGCGGCTCCGAAGCCAGCTGCAGGCGCTGGGTGGCGAGACTGGCGCGCTGAATGTCGCCGAGGCGGAGATCCGCCGCGAGATCCGCCAGCTGCACAGTTCCTTCGCGGCCCTGCTGGAGGACGCACTGCGGCACGAGGCCGTGCTGGCCGCCCTCTTCGGGGAGGACTTGATGGAGGAGATGTCGGAGGAGGCGCCCGGCCCGCTGCCACTACGCTACGAGCAGATCCGCGTGGCCCTGCAGGACGCCGCCAGCGGGCTGCAGGAGCAGGCGCTCGCCTGGGATGCGCTGGCCGCCCGAGTAACGGCCCTGGAGCAGGCCGCGGACCAGCGGGCGCAGCACCGAGAGCCCAGCCACGACGCGTCACGAGAGGGGGTCGGCGAGGCCCAGCTGGTGGGGCTGGAGCAGGAGCTGCAGCGCCTGGCTTCCGAGGTCAAGCAGGTGGGGCAGTGCTGCGAGGCTCCCGGGGCCTCCTCCCTCAACAGCTCCCTGGAGGACCTCCGCGGGGCACTCTCCAACTCTGCGCACGGCCTAGAACAGCACCAGCGGCTCTTCCACAGCCTCTTTGCGAACTTCCAAGGGCTTGTGGCAGCCAACGTCAGCCTGGACCTGGGGAAGCTGCAGGCCTTGTTGAGCAGGAAGGGGAAGAAGCATCAGAAAGGTCTGGAAGCTCCCCGGAGGAGGGACCGGAAGCAAGCAAAGCTCTGGGAGACAGGTGAGTTTATGGGCCCAGGCAGGCTGGGCAGAGTCTAGAACAGGGCCGTCTGCAAGCAGTTCTGCCTGGGTGCGGGGGATGGGGGGGAGCAGTGAGAGAGCAGGCTGACCATCAGTCCTGACTACTCAGGCTAGCTTTGCCCTTGACCAACCTTTCGTTCAGGACTAGGGCCTCTAAAGCTACCTGGAGTAGGTGGTAGAAGTCATAAACCCAACTGTCAGCAAGCGTCAATCCCCTCCACCTAAAGGACTGGTGTATACAGGGCTGGTGGCTTGCCACTCTAACCAGTAGCAGGGCGAGGGAATGGCTCCCTCTCCTCCATGCTCCACCCTCAAATTCATTCACCTCAGCTCTTCACCTGCTTCACCTCACCCCTGCTGTGTCTAACCAGCTTTCTCCTGTGAACTCACTGGTGTGTGGATAGGGGCTGGTTCACCAGCCATGGGCAACAGGCCGCAAGTGGGGAATACAGGGTGGGGGAATACATGGGCTCATAACATAGTTGGCCCCTCTTGCTGCTCTGTGCCAGGTCCCCCACAATGCCTTATTTGGGCTCTGCCATGTTGAATCAACACAACAGCTCAATGATGCATTATCACTGCCATCTTACCTGAAACTGAGGCTCAGTCAGGGGAAGGGTCCTGCTCACACGGCTAGTAAGTAGCACAGAGGAGCCCTGACCCAGTCCAGCTGTCTCAACAGTGCTGCCTCTTCTGCGAAAGGCCCTCACCACTTGTCTGTTTGTCCTTCTGTAAATGGGAGAGTCACTACCTACATCAAAGGTTGTTATGAAGGTGAACAGGTCCATTTACCGAATACCTAGCCTAAGGCTTAACATATGGTAGGAAACAGCCAATGTTTTCCCATTTCCCTAGCATTTTCAGGGCTGAGGCTGGTCTGCCTACACTAAGTCCTCCATCCTTTTTCCTCTCGGGAGTGGTGCAAGGTCTAAGTGCTTGATGGTTTAGGTATCTGAGTTTATCCCTGTATAATTTTATTTCAAAAAAATTTTCTCTAAAAGTAAGAAATTCTCCCTTATTTACTTTGCAGGAAGGCCATAGGTCTTGAATTTCTTTGCAGGGAAGCCCACTCACAGTTTGCCTGCTAGCAAATCAGTGAAGCACAACCCTTCCACCTTCTGAGGGGTGCACGGGGACCCCGGCTGGGTGGGGTCTTCTGCTAAAATTGAATTCCAAGCCGCAGGTGGACAGGAGACCACCTCCGGCAGAGAGCGCTCTAGGCCCGCCTTCTTTGGCTGCGCGAGTGCTCCACCTTCCGGGTGCTGGGGGGAACTGCAGGGCCAGCAGCTTTGGCCATGACCCAATCTCACACAAACCAGAAAGCTATTTTCTAATTCTTAGAAAAATTTCCAGAATTAGAGAGGAGCAAAATTTCATCATTCACAGGCTATTGCTTGACCAGGACCAGAGAGCCAGAGCTCTCGTTTTGGGATCTAAGTCACTAGCTGTTGAGCAGATTGCCCCTCCTTTAGGCCTTGGCTTCGTAAGAAATGGAGAGTGAGCACACAGGGAACATAACCTCATGGTGCCAAGGCCAGTGTCAGAGTCCCGGTGGGACTCCCCCTTCTCATCCCATTTCCTAGCCCAGTCCTCCCCTGCTGGAGCTTCTTGGTCGGCAGCCCCGTTGGCTGCTTCCTCACTGTACATTCCCCCTCTGCACAGAGTGGCTTCCTCTGGCTGCATGCCTGTATGTAGACCTGGTGGGCTGCACACCTGTGTGTCCTCCCTTCTACTTACCCCCTGAAAGCTGGCTAAAGTGCCTTTTCAGGTGGGAAGCACACCGAAATCAGGGGACATAGGGACTGCTCCCAGTTTGGTAGTTTATTAGCTGTGTCATCTGGACCAAGCTATCCCTTTCTGGTTCCATCTGTAGTCCCAGGGCTCTGTGCAATTTTGAAACCATTAAGATGACCAAATTTTCTTCCTCAGTCCCACCTGCTCTCCTTCTCTCTCTTAAAGGTCCTGTGCCTTCTAGTAGGAATCACCTTCACTATTTCTTAGTGATCTCACAAGTGTTACCGTTATTACCTTGAGAATAGGTAATATTATCTCTTCCCCTTGGATATCTCAAGATCCCCAGCAGGTGGCAGTAGTCCTGAAGCAGCTTGCCTTGTAGCTGGGCCATTTGAAAAGCCATGTAGCCTAGGGCAACCAGTTAACACTCAAGACTTGGGAGTTTCCTAAATCAGAGATACTTTACTCTCAAGGATGTTGGGAGCAAAAGGGATCTCACTCTTCCTGCAAGTGCATTTCAGCCCCATATGGAGGAGTTTCAACCAAAGCCTGCACGGCCTGTTCCAGGCCATCAGAAACCTATCTCTTGACGTGGAGGCCAACCGACAGGCCATCAAGAGGGTCCAGGAGAACACTGTGGCCAGGGCCGACTTCCAGGAGCTCAGTGCCAAATTTGAGACCAAGGTCCAGGAGAATGCCCAGAAAGTGGGTCAGCTGCGGCAGGATGTGGAGGACCGCCTGCATGCCCAGGGCCTTTTCCTGCACCAGTCCCTCTCTGAGATCCAGGTGAACATGGACACCAAGGTGAAGAGGCTCCTTAAGGCCCAGGAGCCCCTGGGAGCCAATGGCAGTCTGGCAGGGGTGGCAGGGGCAGGGGCAAGGCCGGAGCCTGAAAGCCTACAGGCCAGGCTGGGCCAGCTTCAGAGGAACCTCTCAGCGCTGCACGTGGCCACTGGCCAAAGGGAAGAGGCACTGCAGAGCACCCTGGCATATGTGAGGGCGGCCCTGGCCCAGCACGAGGCTGAGATCAAGGAGCTGTACTCAGAGTCCGATGAGACCTTCGATCAGATCAGCAAGGTGGAGCGGCAGATGGAGGAGCTGCAGGTGAACCACACGGCGCTGCGGGAGCTGCGGGTGATCCTGATGGAGAAGTCACTGATCATGGAGGAGAACAAGGAGGAGATGGAGCGGCAGATCCTGGAGCTCAACCTCACCCTCCAGCATCTGCAGGGAGCCCATGCCGACCTCATCAAGTACGTCAAGGACTGCAACTGCCAGAAGCTCTACTTCGACCTGGACGTCATCCGGGAGGACCAGCGGGACACTACGCGGGCCCTGGAGGAGACGCAGGTGAGCCTGGATGAGCGGCGCCAGCAGGACGGCATCTCCCTGCAGGCCCTGAGCAGCACGGTGACCGCCCTGTCGCTGGCCGTGGACGCCGGCAAGGCGGAGGGAGAGCGGGCGCGGGCCGACTTGGCGCGGCTCCGAAGCCAGCTGCAGGCGCTGGGTGGCGAGACTGGCGCGCTGAATGTCGCCGAGGCGGAGATCCGCCGCGAGATCCGCCAGCTGCACAGTTCCTTCGCGGCCCTGCTGGAGGACGCACTGCGGCACGAGGCCGTGCTGGCCGCCCTCTTCGGGGAGGACTTGATGGAGGAGATGTCGGAGGAGGCGCCCGGCCCGCTGCCACTACGCTACGAGCAGATCCGCGTGGCCCTGCAGGACGCCGCCAGCGGGCTGCAGGAGCAGGCGCTCGCCTGGGATGCGCTGGCCGCCCGAGTAACGGCCCTGGAGCAGGCCGCGGACCAGCGGGCGCAGCACCGAGAGCCCAGCCACGACGCGTCACGAGAGGGGGTCGGCGAGGCCCAGCTGGTGGGGCTGGAGCAGGAGCTGCAGCGCCTGGCTTCCGAGGTCAAGCAGGTGGGGCAGTGCTGCGAGGCTCCCGGGGCCTCCTCCCTCAACAGCTCCCTGGAGGACCTCCGCGGGGCACTCTCCAACTCTGCGCACGGCCTAGAACAGCACCAGCGGCTCTTCCACAGCCTCTTTGCGAACTTCCAAGGGCTTGTGGCAGCCAACGTCAGCCTGGACCTGGGGAAGCTGCAGGCCTTGTTGAGCAGGAAGGGGAAGAAGCATCAGAAAGGTCTGGAAGCTCCCCGGAGGAGGGACCGGAAGCAAGCAAAGCTCTGGGAGACAGGTGAGTTTATGGGCCCAGGCAGGCTGGGCAGAGTCTAGAACAGGGCCGTCTGCAAGCAGTTCTGCCTGGGTGCGGGGGATGGGGGGGAGCAGTGAGAGAGCAGGCTGACCATCAGTCCTGACTACTCAGGCTAGCTTTGCCCTTGACCAACCTTTCGTTCAGGACTAGGGCCTCTAAAGCTACCTGGAGTAGGTGGTAGAAGTCATAAACCCAACTGTCAGCAAGCGTCAATCCCCTCCACCTAAAGGACTGGTGTATACAGGGCTGGTGGCTTGCCACTCTAACCAGTAGCAGGGCGAGGGAATGGCTCCCTCTCCTCCATGCTCCACCCTCAAATTCATTCACCTCAGCTCTTCACCTGCTTCACCTCACCCCTGCTGTGTCTAACCAGCTTTCTCCTGTGAACTCACTGGTGTGTGGATAGGGGCTGGTTCACCAGCCATGGGCAACAGGCCGCAAGTGGGGAATACAGGGTGGGGGAATACATGGGCTCATAACATAGTTGGCCCCTCTTGCTGCTCTGTGCCAGGTCCCCCACAATGCCTTATTTGGGCTCTGCCATGTTGAATCAACACAACAGCTCAATGATGCATTATCACTGCCATCTTACCTGAAACTGAGGCTCAGTCAGGGGAAGGGTCCTGCTCACACGGCTAGTAAGTAGCACAGAGGAGCCCTGACCCAGTCCAGCTGTCTCAACAGTGCTGCCTCTTCTGCGAAAGGCCCTCACCACTTGTCTGTTTGTCCTTCTGTAAATGGGAGAGTCACTACCTACATCAAAGGTTGTTATGAAGGTGAACAGGTCCATTTACCGAATACCTAGCCTAAGGCTTAACATATGGTAGGAAACAGCCAATGTTTTCCCATTTCCCTAGCATTTTCAGGGCTGAGGCTGGTCTGCCTACACTAAGTCCTCCATCCTTTTTCCTCTCGGGAGTGGTGCAAGGTCTAAGTGCTTGATGGTTTAGGTATCTGAGTTTATCCCTGTATAATTTTATTTCAAAAAAATTTTCTCTAAAAGTAAGAAATTCTCCCTTATTTACTTTGCAGGAAGGCCATAGGTCTTGAATTTCTTTGCAGGGAAGCCCACTCACAGTTTGCCTGCTAGCAAATCAGTGAAGCACAACCCTTCCACCTTCTGAGGGGTGCACGGGGACCCCGGCTGGGTGGGGTCTTCTGCTAAAATTGAATTCCAAGCCGCAGGTGGACAGGAGACCACCTCCGGCAGAGAGCGCTCTAGGCCCGCCTTCTTTGGCTGCGCGAGTGCTCCACCTTCCGGGTGCTGGGGGGAACTGCAGGGCCAGCAGCTTTGGCCATGACCCAATCTCACACAAACCAGAAAGCTATTTTCTAATTCTTAGAAAAATTTCCAGAATTAGAGAGGAGCAAAATTTCATCATTCACAGGCTATTGCTTGACCAGGACCAGAGAGCCAGAGCTCTCGTTTTGGGATCTAAGTCACTAGCTGTTGAGCAGATTGCCCCTCCTTTAGGCCTTGGCTTCGTAAGAAATGGAGAGTGAGCACACAGGGAACATAACCTCATGGTGCCAAGGCCAGTGTCAGAGTCCCGGTGGGACTCCCCCTTCTCATCCCATTTCCTAGCCCAGTCCTCCCCTGCTGGAGCTTCTTGGTCGGCAGCCCCGTTGGCTGCTTCCTCACTGTACATTCCCCCTCTGCACAGAGTGGCTTCCTCTGGCTGCATGCCTGTATGTAGACCTGGTGGGCTGCACACCTGTGTGTCCTCCCTTCTACTTACCCCCTGAAAGCTGGCTAAAGTGCCTTTTCAGGTGGGAAGCACACCGAAATCAGGGGACATAGGGACTGCTCCCAGTTTGGTAGTTTATTAGCTGTGTCATCTGGACCAAGCTATCCCTTTCTGGTTCCATCTGTAGTCCCAGGGCTCTGTGCAATTTTGAAACCATTAAGATGACCAAATTTTCTTCCTCAGTCCCACCTGCTCTCCTTCTCTCTCTTAAAGGTCCTGTGCCTTCTAGTAGGAATCACCTTCACTATTTCTTAGTGATCTCACAAGTGTTACCGTTATTACCTTGAGAATAGGTAATATTATCTCTTCCCCTTGGATATCTCAAGATCCCCAGCAGGTGGCAGTAGTCCTGAAGCAGCTTGCCTTGTAGCTGGGCCATTTGAAAAGCCATGTAGCCTAGGGCAACCAGTTAACACTCAAGACTTGGGAGTTTCCTAAATCAGAGATACTTTACTCTCAAGGATGTTGGGAGCAAAAGGGATCTCACTAGAAAGTACTTTTTAAAAATGCACACCAATAGAGACAACAGACTTGTATTTTCCTCTTCAGTGAAATACTGAGCATTGGCCGGTTAGCTCCCACTCCCTGAGATGTGTTGCTATTGGGAGTATCTAGGTTATCTATTTTAATATTAGTAAGGTGAGGAAGGCAAGTTCTCAGGGTTTAATTTACCATCCATGGGAGTAAGGGAGTGAATCACTGAGCACTTTCCTCCTGCATTCCAGGCTCTCCTGTGGCCTTCTATGCCAGCTTTTCAGAAGGGACGGCTGCCCTGCAGACAGTGAAGTTCAACAAAACTTACATCAACATTGGCGGCAGCTACTTCCCTGAACATGGCTACTTCCGAGCCCCTGAGCGTGGAGTCTATCTGTTTGCAGTGAGCATTGAATTCGGTCCAGGGCCAGGCACTGGGCAGCTAGTGATTGGAGGTCACCATCAGACCCCTATCTGTACCACAGAGGAGCAGAGGGGTGGAAGCACAGCAACCACCTTTGCCATGGCTGAGCTGCAGAAGGGTGAGAGAGTGTGGTTTGAGTTAACTCAGGGATCGGTAATGAAGAGAAACCCACCAGGCTCTACGTTCGGGGGATTCCTGGTGTTCAAGACCTGAGCATTGGGCACAGCTCTGACAGACATGGTGGACTTGCCCAGCTTTCCTTGGCCTGGGGCTCTGGCCAGCACTGGTCTGGGACCATCCAGTTGGTCTAGCTCTTCCCTGGAAACTTTCTGCAAAGACAGTATGGCCTATGTGGCCTCCCTCTAGATGCACTGGGTTTGGTTATTTCTTAATGAGGAGGAGGATTGGAATGCTTCTCTCTGGGTAGGACCTGGTCTGGCGAAGTGTGAACCTTGACTTAGCGTGCCTCCCTGGTCCACATGGCACGGACCCCAGCTCTCTGCCAGTGTCCTACGGCTTTGTTGTGTTTTTCATTGGGGTTTTGGTCCTCTTGTGGTTGGAATGTCCATATGCTTGTAACCTTTCTCCCACTTCCTCTTCTGCCTCATTTTCTGCTAGAGAATCCTTCTTTCCCAGAAGGGATGTTTTAAATGGAGGTGACATTTTGGACAACGTTGGAAACCAGTCTGCACTCACTACAGAGCAGTAAGAGAAAACTAAGCTAAGCTCTCTGGTCTCTACCAGCCAGACATGGAGATGAAGTGCTGAGATAAACAAGGGCAACAGAATTCATAACTTTCCCTTAGTTTCAGTCCTTCCTTGACTTTATCTGTAACTTTAATTTCACTTCTCTCTCCTTGCCTTGCAAAGGCTAAGATATGCCACACAAGAACGAAAACGTGTGTAGACTCCTTTGTTACCTCCTCCTGTAACTCATGACCACCCTGATTCTTATTAGCATCTCTAACCAGGAAGGGAGGGCTGAGGGAGGAAGTGAAGGACGTCTGTAAAACTCCCCCTCGATAATGACCAACTTTGGAATAAAGTAATGCCCTTCAAACATCTGCCTGGTTTACGCATCGAGAACAAAATCATTTGGTAAAATAGAAATACAGGACAAAATAAAACTATCTAGGATGTGACTTTCATTGTTCCAGGCCATATTTGATTTCACAATTTAATTCTACATGAAACAGAGGCCTTCCCAGCAGGCAATGACATGAATATTGGGTTAGGCAGTAGCTCAGTTGCAGTTATTCCTGCAATATCAGTATGGTTTTCAAAAATGTTAACTTTGGTAGAAGCTAGTCAGTATCTGTTGACCACACTCTCCTCTGTAAGAAAGTCAGATGAGACTGGGTAGGGGCAGGGACAGGAGGTAGTTCAGAGTTAACACGGTTCCCAGACTCCTTATTGTTTCCTTGGGGTCCCCAATTTAAACGATTGTTCCTGAGAGTTTACCACTAAGCTTTGTGTGCCCAATGTGTAAGATATTAAGAGTTAAAAGGAACAGTACGCCAGGTCCCTCTGCCACTGACAGGTTGACCTTGGGTAGATCCCAGCCTCTTTTGAGCTTTTTCCATCTGCAGATTGAGATGGTTAGTCAAACAGTTCTCATTGAGTATTCTGCCATTTTATTCTCTCTCCACTCTCGCCTACCTGCCCCTCCTGCTGGCCAGGGCCTCTTGCCCAGTGCAGCTCTCAGTTGCCAAGACCAATCCTGACCCAGGGCATGATGTATTGGGCCACTCCTAACCGAAGATTGAGAAGCCAGCCCCAGGACACCCTTGCTACTTCTAAGACCACGCTGTTTTCTCTCTGCTCAGTCTTGCTATTTCTGGTCAGGCAGTGCTAATGACTAAATGGAAACATTAGAAAAATGTATTCTTATCATTTAGAATTTACTGCACAAAATAAGCAAAGTGAACTTATGTCCATCAGGGGCACATGTCCTGCCTCACATGGCTGGTGCTCTTGAATTGAAAGATTATAAATGGAAATGCCAACTGGTTAATTCTGCCAGCCACATGGATGAGTTACTCCAGAAGTTTCTAGGATGAGAACTAGAGAAACAATCATTCTTTTAAAGAGGGCACTTTCCATATAGCAAAACAAATTCCATAAAACCTTAATATCAAGTTTAAGTGCAAACTTTCTGCTTAGCACTTCTATAATTAGGACCCCAAATCAGCAGGAACTCTGAAGTTCATTTGATAGCTATCTTATCTCACTAAGGCATCTGATATCTCTGGGTGAAGACTTTTTCAGTGCCCTTCAGGTGGACCCCATTAGCCAGGCTGAAGTAAAACACCCTTCACTTGTGGCATCTGGAACAAGACAACAGACTGTGCAGAGTGGTATCACACCTCCCCAAACCTAATGAAAAAAACATATAAAAGTAATAAAAAGTATCACTGAAAAGCAAGAAGGGGTACCATAAGTAGATCAGGACATTTAATTAATTCCTGGAAAAAGGAAGCAGAAGGGATCATGTATAAAATGAACTAACATTAGAACACCATAACCCAAAACATTTGAGACTGCTGGAAGAGATGAGTGATTTCAAGGAAACCCCAAACTCAAACTCAGCCCGACACACTTAGGGGGACTAAAGGAGGAGGGGCAACTGAGGCAGCGGACGGTCAGTCCCAGCTATCCCCCTGCCCTTGCTAAGCAGCCAGCGGCAATGGCCTCTGCCTTGGGCTAGAACTGCGGGGTCAATCCTGAGCCCTCACCTACAGGGCAGCTACTGAAGCAGGAAGCTCCCACACCCAGACGTGTATAACCTTACTGAAATCAAGACCCATGGGAGTCAACCTAGAGATGTGTCTCCACAAACCATAACAGTATTCAAAATAACTCCTGACCTTTATTTTTATTTCAAAGACACTGTGAAGAGGACACGTGGTCTATACAAAACATTACAAACTCTCCTTTCCTCATATACTCTGAAGCTTGTCTGGTATCCCATGTTTATCTAAAAAACATGAAAAACCCCTCTCCTGGCTCTAGCCTGAGCAATACTCTTCCACATTCCTCCATCAAGAAAGTGCCCCTAAACCTGGCCTGATAATGGCCAAACTCTTTCCAGGGATGGATCAGGTAAATGAGTGCAGCGGGGAAAGACGGAAACCTCTTGAGTAGGCAACAAGAGAGCAAAGGGTCACTTCTAATCCAATTTTGTGCTCTCACAAACTATTGCACCATCTCTCCTTAATAAAAACAAGAAGCTGAGGAGCACAGAACCAGTGCGCGGGGGCTCACTACCACAGAGATAAGCAAATTGCCCAAACTGCCAAATATTTGTGGAAAACTAGCATCATGAGCAAGGTGATCTGAAACTCATCAAACTGAAGATTTTAGAATATACAGATCTCCAGAGACAAGACAGAGAATCAGCAATTTAAATCTTGATTATTTGCCAACCAGATCCTGGTTTCTAAATACCATGACTCCCCTAAAAGAACTAGAGTGCCTTGGAGAAATGGATGACTCCATGGCTGGGGCAATTAGGTACCAGATGATGCTAGAACATTTTCACATGCCAGAAAGTAAGAGGTACTCAAAAAATGATGGGCACATACCAGAAGGACTCAGGGGCCAGCTGGATGAATTCCCAGTAGCCATGTCTGGGGTTAATTTGAGCAACAAAACAAATAATGACATAAGAGACTATAAGTCATTGAATAAAATTAGAACCCAGGAATCCATACTGATAATCAGTAGGCGACAAGAGTAGACCCCTTTCTTACAGCAGAATGCTGATTAATAAACATAAATGTAATAATGGAATTAGAAAACCACCACTCTGCAATCAGATTCAGGTAAGAAGTATCAATGGATGGTAAAACACAGTCTCAAAGTATCTCCCATAACATACTAACTACAAAGGGAAAAGGGTAACTTTATGGCAGAGAAACCAGGCATCACCTTATTTGTGATCAAGACCCAGAGGTCACAGTGACATGCCCACAGATCACAGGCCTTTACTCTAGAAAAATGTCGTCATTTCAACAGACAAAAGCTGGAGAACTGCCAGATTAAAGGGGACTAAGGGCACAGAATAACTAATCACAATGCAAGATCCTAGACTGACTCCGGGCCAGGAAAATGTGCTCTCAAGAGCTTTGTTGGAACTGAAAACTTGAGTAAGGCCAGCAGATTATGACATTGCTGATAATTGTGATGGTATCAGTAGCAGCTTTCCTGTTTGACAACTGTACATAACTGGTTATATAACAGAATATCCTGGCAGTATTTACGGATAAAGAGGCATGAGCTCTGTAACTTACTCCAAGTAGTTCAGAAAAAAGTATGTGTATGTGGATGTGTGCGCACAAACATTCCAAATGGGCCTTTATAATCGTTGCGACACATACAGAAATGACAAAGCAATTGTGAAAAATATGACAGTTTATGAATCTGGGTGCATAGGAAATGATGTTCTTTATACTATTTTTGCAACTTTTCTGTAAGTTTGAAATTATTTCAAAATAAAGTTAAAATTTGGGTGTTGAAATAAACTCAGTAGATGGACTGAAAAGCAGAAGGTAGGATGGAACATGTGAGAGACATGTTAAGAAATACAGAAGGACCTGTGAGACCTAGTGTTTATCTAATAAGAGTTCTAGAAACAGAAAGTAAAAGGGAAGGCGGGAAGTAAAGAAGTGGCAGAGAAAAGTTCCTGGATCCAAGGAAAGATTAGGAGAACTCAATGAGTAGTGAGTAAAGGAATGAAATAAAAAGGAAATTCTACATTTTTTGAATGAAAAAATCAAGTTAAACTACAAAGGACTGAATTAGACATACATCAGACTTCTTACTGCCAGCAAGGCTGCTGGAAGATCATGGAGCACTGCCTTCTGAGCTAGACTGTCTCTGGCAAACTGCTGGCCATGAATGAAGATTGAAATGCCTCTCACAACAGTACTAGCCTTTTTTTTGGTCAATCTTTTAATTCTTTTTAAAGTTTTTCAACATTTCCTTGGATTTTTGTCATACAGTAGAGCAACTGAGAGCAGAGCATGGAAGTGTTTTATCAACCTAATTCTAAATTTGCTTTAAAAAATCATTCACCTTCAAAAAAAAAAACCCAAGTTCTTTCTTCCTCTGACTTAAAAAGTAGTTTCAACATGTTTCTTATTGACTTTTTAAGTAACAATAACATTTCAGGTTCTGTGTATAAAACTTAGGATAGGACAGTGAGGTGGGTGTAGGGCACACAGGGCCATCTGCAATAACCCTGGGTTCATTCTGAGCACACATGGGACTCACGGTGAGGAAGTAATTGGACAAAGACCTGGAAAATGAATGTTCAGAAGAGTAATATGCGAGCCACACACATTCCATCTAAAAATGAGGACAGCAATACCTACCTCAAAGGGTAACTATGGATTAACCTTCTGCCCTCATCTCTGGTATTTTTTGTTATGTACCTTAGCACTTTAACTATGTCTCCTCCTCCTGATTGCTAGCTTCAGGGTGACTTGCCCATTTCATTACCCTGAGCTTATCCTTTTACTCCCCATGAATAGGAAAGGGCCACTCTTGGTAGGAGAGCTGCGTATACTGGCTGGCCACCTTCAATGGACCATGTCCATTTAGTCAAGGCTGTATTGCCTCAAGGACCGAAAGCAAGGTTTTTAAGGAATATGCATCTAACTTAATAAAGTACAAAGTATCAGAAATGGCCCCTGCACTATCAACAGGCAGGTAATATTCCTCTAAGTGAACAAAGACTTACCACTGAATTAGCACCTGCTTTGAATTACCTACAAGGATTATTCTGGATGAAGAGTGTCATTTCTTAATATCCACTCCATTAATACTAATAAAATTAAAGAAAGCTTGGAAACTAACCAATGAGAGTAACAGATTATGCTGGGAAGGAAAAAAATAAATATATTTATCCATTTTTTGGGTTCAGCATGTTAAGATGTAAGGAAAGTTGGCAAGCATTTGATAAACCCAAGAATCCATTGATTCTCAAGGTGCATGAGAATGCATTTTGTTGGGGGATGGGGTGGACATCAACTAGTCCCACAGCTTTCATGACGATTTAACATCTCCAGATGCCTGAGAACAGATATCACAAAGTACTGACTGAATTTACATACAACTAAAAAGAGCTCTGACAGATGGTGAGACTAAGGGCAGGTGGGAAAAAACAATGGTACTGAACAGAAAGGAAGCCACCTTCCCTTAAGTTTAAGCTTTTTAAAAAGCATTGGCACCAACAGGAACACGATAAAGCCAGATAAATGGATGCTATTACTTAAGTGAAAGAAGCCAGTTACAGGAGAGAAACCAGGCACTCTACTAACAAGGAGAGAAGAAACTTGGAAGAAATTACCTGCCCAGGTAGGGAGATGGGCACTGTCTCGTACTGCTAGGAGTGTAAATGAGAAACCCTCCTGGGTAGCAGTATTTATCAAGAACCTTAGTATTTGTTCTTATCTTAAATAATCTTTTAAAAGTTCTTATCCATTTAGTCCTACTTTTTAGCAATGTAATTTAAGAAAATATACAAAGATTATACAAGAATGTATAATATATCACTTACATTTTCCAAAACAATGGGAATAACTCAAATATTCAACAGGGAATTAAAAAACAAATTATTCCATCTGCTTTGTGGAATATTATGTAGTCAATTTTTTAAAATTATGTTTTCAATGGATATAATGACATACTATGATCTTCATGTTGTAAATAAATAAGCATCAGGAAAAAAAAGATTCAAAAGAAACATTCAATTAAGTATGTGTAACATCCAGGACAGAATTTTGAGTGATTTGATTTGCTTCTTTATTCTTTCCTGTTTTCCAAATTTTCTTCAGTGAGTACATATTTTTAGAGTAGGAAAAACGTTTTGTTTTGTTTTTTTAAAGGAAAACAACCCTTTGCTATGATAGGCCTGTAACTTCACTACACCAAGGAAAGAGAACATGGTTACTTACCTGCCCGGTGTTCCATACCTAGTTTCAGACAGCTGAGAAGCACATCTCAGGGATACTGTACACCGACTTAACTTGTTATAAAATCTCACTAGACGTGTGATTTCTGATACACAATCCAGTCCGAGTATCACAAAACACATCACTAAAGTATACTAAAATAAGGTTATTTACTTAAAAATGATACATTAGACGTAATCTATATATAGAAGAAAGCAATTAATGGTAAACTTAACTTAATAAGGCACCTTTTAAACCAGATGCTGTACAAAATACATTTAGTGTGTTACATATCAAAGATGAATCTATATTTTTGGTGTTTTACAACTGCTTAATAAAACTGCTTGTTTTAACCCACCTTTCAATGTCCATGTACAACTTTCCTAATTAAGCTATAACGTTATTTTATACAATATATACTACACTTTCATTTTTAAATGGGCAAGGACAACAATCACTAAAAGGGCTTAAATAATTCCATTGAAAGCATGGTACAGAGCACAAGCTAAAATTACAGTAATATATTTACTCTTGCAAAAGCACTATTCACATACTTTCCTTATGGGACAATCATTACCCATGGCTTCATATGATGCTGTCCCAGATTTTAATTTGCTTTTTATGAACATGTCAGCTCTCTGCAGTTTTTCTATGACTTTGTAACAGTACTGAGACAAGAAGATGAACTGCTACACCATTATTTTAAGATCTGACCCAAGGAAATAATAAATATTACCACTTTCAAACAGTACAAGAGCTGCAACAATCCTTTTAAATCGATTAGTACTACAGCTGTTACAATTATTTTAGATATTCAGAAACAACATGTATGAAAAGAAACATAGGTGATTTAATTTACAAAATCTTGGCTGGAATAAATTATTTGATCTTGAGCCAATTCAGAGATGCATGATTCTTTTAAAAATTGTATTGCATTTTTGTTCTAAACAGAAGCAAAGCATCTGGGGAAAATAGGTACTAAATCCTTTTTAGAGTGAATAAATACAAAATCTGGCACCTTCTATGAAAACATAACTTTCAAAAACTACTGGTCATTTTTTAAGTTTAGAAAACTCCTGGGACATTGGAAATGCAGCATAAAACATTGATTGAAATATCTTTTGTGAAACCATTTCCAGAGAATTAGATTCAAATTTTATACTTCAGTAACTTGTTCAGTAAGAAAGCACAGGCAAAGTTTAGAATAAACATAATCCTAATGTGCCTTTGAATTCTAGAGATATTTACCAGTATATCGAGAATTTATAGGAATTCTGGGTGTTAACTTTTGTTGTATTCAAGTAGCTTTGCTTTTTTTTTTATGTGTGCATTATTTAAAAGGATGACAGACAGAAGCCACACATTTTTAAAATGCAAAACTTTTAACTGGAACCAAACAATGGGTGTCTAGGGTTTCACAAATTATTATCTATGATGATACATAATACTTCTTACTTTTTAAATATTTCACTTACTGGGTAAACTTATAAATTTAAGAGTAAGAGTAATAAGGACAGAAGAAATAAGTTTCATGCAACTTTTTTAAAGTTTAGGATCGGCATCATTTGCTTTTTAAAGAACATGCTATACTAGACAATAGTTACTGAACAAGTTTCTAAGGTTAATCTTGATATCATTTTTAATAAATCAATTTAACTAAAAAAATCATATAGTGATCTCGTACTTATAAACTGTCAAATTTTTTTACATATACTAAAATTAATGTTTTAAAGAACAGAGCTTATTCCTTACATTTTTCCTTACATATTTTAAGATGACAAATAATTTAAAGATTTATAGTTTATCAAATAAAAAAATAAATTCAGGTTAACCTTAGACTAACAAGTAGATAAGAGTTCTTAAGTATTCTTAAATCACTTGGCAATTTAGATTAAAATATCTGTATTTCTCAGTATAGAGATGGGGAAAACATTCTGAAAGAGGAAGTTATTGGGTATTGTCATTATGTAAATTTACTTATCTTGATGAACACTTTTAGTCTTACATGAAAATTATTAAATTTAGCCAAAACTGTTAGTTTCAAATTTGTAAAATTTGATGTATAGTCATATATATGTTTCATCCTTAAAAGCCAGTCAAATTTTTGGTAATGGATGCACATGCTCTGACTTTTCCCTTTATTAAAGTTTTTTGACTATAATGCTGATATAATTACATTTATTTTATGTCATACTCAAAGGAAACTGCCTCGCTTTATGATCTATTGGTTGTTCAGAATAGACATTAATATTTAAAGGGCATTACAGAAATATAAGTTTAAGTAAATCAGAATTATCCCTAGGGATAACAAGGCATCCATAAAATATGAGCATTTTATTGAGTAATGCCTAAACAGTAGAGATAACAGATACTGATTAGATACTGGACTTTTTTTCCTGACTCTTCATTGTCTTCACGAATTATGAAACAGAGATCATAAAACCAAAACTCTCAAATGACTTAAATGTCTAAAACAGATGTTGATAAGTTTTTATCATTTCTGAAATAGAAATTTCTAGTTTCATAAGATCCTTTCATAAAGGAAATTTGAGGTGATAGCTATCTTTATGAATGTCTATGGCCTGAAGTTAATGAAATCCTAGATTATTTTGAATGTGCTAAATCTTAAAACTTATATGTAGTTATACTTTATTATTTTTTCTGATAATCTTTTAATTTCCTTCCCTTAAAGCATGGGATCTGAGGTACATGTGAGCTCTGTTTCTACAGTATGAATGTATGTATGTATACATATAAAATATGGTTGTAAAAGAGGTGTTTTGCAAATAAAGAATATTATACACAAAATATAAATAACTTCCCTTTTAAAAGTTACTGAATAAAGAATACAGAACATGGTTGTAGGCACTTACATTGCTATCAAATGCAGTAATTAGTAATTCACTTCAAAAAGAAGTGTTTTCTTTAGAAGGTTCATGGAATTGGAAGCTCCAACTTTAAACAGGATGTTTTTCATGGTAAAAACAGTAATTATTAAAAAAAAAAAAAGATGGTGGAGGAAAACAATCTACACTTACAGACTTTAAATGTCTTTTGGCCTTTATAACAACTTTATATTAAAAATAAAGTTGGTAGAGAAGCTAGCTCACCTGCATGGTAAATGGCTTTTATGTAACTGACGAATCTTGGTCAGATAATGTATTTTTTAAAGCCCCAAACCAGTATCTTCCTGTGCATTATTTTCTCCTAATTCAAATGGCAGCAGAGGAATCCTGGTGTGCATGTATGTACACACACACACACACATCCCTCATTATCAAGGCATGACCAACTATCATAAACTAAGCAGTATCCCAAACAGATCATAATCCATAGGCTGTTTACAAAGGTAGAATACAAACAGATTAAATTTTCTTAGGTAGAAGGCAAAAGTGTTACTTCTCCATCTCTGCTGAATTCATTTATCTTCTTAAGGCTTTCACAGAAAGCACCGTTTTATTATCAGTTAATTCAGTACCCAGAGTTTGACTGGAGACTTAATCAGGATTGGAGTCTTGATGCAGTTCATAAAACCTCCCCCCGAAAAAAAATACAGCATCAAAAACCACATTTAAAACAGAGCTGTCCATATATAAAGAATTAAGTGTCTAGAAGTTCCCAGCTGTATTTTACAGAGTACTGGAAGGTTTAATATTAGCAGCCTGTGAAGGTGTACTGAGGAAAGTGTCTGAGAACCAAGTTAACATCCTTAATCTACACTAACTCCACCCATTCCCTGGGTGAAAACAGTTCTTGTAGTCTGGAATTTCTCTTCATGATTGTTTAACTGTCAAATTTTTACATCTTGGGATTCAACCATCTTGGCAAGTGTCTTCTTGATTCTCAGAGCTGTAAGTCTGGAGGCTGGATTGTGGGCCCAGCATTCTGACATTAGCTTCAAAACTGCTCGTAGACACTGAAAAACAAAGAGAACATAGAGAGCAGGTAAGTATCTTTGGCAACACTTACCAATCACTACTTCAAGGGACTTGGTTCCACTTACTTCATCACTGTTCCATCGATTAGACACAACTGGCCGCAAACGTTTGACACACACGACCTCACGCATATCTTCGTATGATGGATCGTTGGGTACCATGTTGTAATATGGCAACTGGTACTCCTCTACTATCCCTGCAGGGAAAAAACAGAGTGGGCACAAAAATGGTAGATGAACAAATTCTATCAGCTATTCAGCACCTCTTACTGATCTTTATGGAACTAGAACTTGATTTCTACATTAAAAAAAAAAATCATAGCATGGATGATTCACTCTTAATAATAAATACATATTCTCTTTTTTCATGTCTCATCATTTCCTCAGCCTCAGCCTCCATCAGTCTCCATCACAGCTGAGGATGTAACAATATCCCTTTAAAAAAAGGAATATGCAAGGTGAAATGCCCACTTACCCTTAATTTTTAATCTAATTATTTGTGTGTATAACAGTTCCTACTAATGAATATGGTTTTTATTTTGTTTTGTTTTGTTTTGTTTTGCAGTAGAAAGACAACATGATTTGCAGGAAAAGTTAACATATTTAGAACTACAACTGCCATCTTCAAAAGGCCTGCTGGCCAGGTGGGCCCTTGATTGGGGTCTGGAAACTTACGTGGTACAGTTCCCTACAGGCATATAAAACTTTCCCTAAATGGTAAGGGTGGCCCACTGTGCCCAGCTGAAAAAAGATGTGGTGTATATACTGAATATCTGCTTTCTTTCTGCAATTGGAGTCTGGGGACATGCTAGGCAGAGGGTGCCCATGTGACCAGCCTCTCAATGTACCTTGGGGCACTAAGCTGCTAATGAACATCCATAGATGGTAACATTTTATATGATGTCACAATTTGTTGCTGGAGGAATTAAGCGCATCCTGTGTGACCCCAGTGGGAAAGGACTTTTTGGAAGCTTATGCCCGACTTCCTCTGAACTTTGCCCCCAGGCATCTTTCCCCTTTGCTGATTTTGATTTGCTTCCTTTCACTGCAATAAATCTTACTGGTGAGGACAACTATATGATGAATCCTCTGAGTCCTTCTTGTGAAATCTAGAACCTGGGAATGGTCTTAGGGATCCCTGACATGCATGACATGGAAATTACGTAACTGGAGCTCTTATATTCTTAATGATGAGGATACATAACCAGAAACATGCCATTTTTATAAACGCCTACCTCCTGTGATACAACGACGAGCCATTTCCCAAATGATCAGGCCAAAGCTATAGATGTCAGCCATTATGTAGGGCTGGAAATGGTTTTTGTTCAGGCTTTCATCTAGCACTTCTGGAGCCATATAGCGTTTGGTACCCACCCGGGTATTCAAGGGTACATCAACTTCATTTGTATCACTGAAATAGAAGACAGACAATAGGTTCAGGCTAAGAACAAAATTGTTAATGTATTTTTGTCATATTTTGTAAAAGTCAGTGTCTGTTTCTCCCTGTAATATATACATAATATATATAAATAAAATAAAAACCAGACAATCTATGTACCTATTTACCTACCTAGCTAATATTTCCACATTCTCATATCAGAAATCTGGGCCAGATAAATTTTGAAATTAAGCATCTTTCAAATTTTAGAAAAGGAGTATGCCCTTTAAATATATGTTACATATTATATATAACATTCCCTGTAGGGTCTGAAGCAGTGTTCTTATTCAAAGTCACTACTATGTCAGCAGTGAAAACAATATGAATACTCATACAAGCTAGATACATGGAGACAATAAACGCCTCACATCAGCTCAGGTCGTTTTTTTTTTCTCAAGGTTTAAAAAAACTATCATTTATTTTTAAAAGCACTAATAAAAAGTTTAACATACTTAAGAAAGTTACAATATACAAATGTGCTCAGCTGTGATTTTGACAGACTTGACTTCTCTCTAGCATATGTGACCTTGAGTTTCTTTTAGTTACCCACATTTCCAATGTTTAGTTATTCAAACGTTAGTCCCTTGAAATACCTGGTGGGTTACATAAGCATGAATCACATGCAACAAGAGAAAATGCAGATGACTGTGCCACCCAACCAAATGTTCATGAAGAAAATGACGAATTCCCATTCACATCAACCAGGGCACATCAGAAAACCATTCTCCTTGGGAGAGAAGTTTCGGAAATGTCACCATTCTTTAAGAGCATGCTTAAATGAAGCCACAGCTTTAACGTAAGCTTTTATCAACCTGTATCATCCCAAATTTCAGGATCATCATTCTTGTTAGCTGCCCAACAACTTTCAAAAGAGTTTTATTCTCCTGTTTCAGTTGTTCATCTGTGGTCTCTATTTCATCTTCTATGAAATAGAAGACTTTCTACTGTAGTCATCTAGGTCTCTAACAAATCAATTTCTTCTTTGTGGTCTCTATTTCATCTTCTATGAAATAGACTTCTATTGTCATCTAGGTCTCTATTTAACAAATCAATTTCTTCTTTGAGTTTTTCAATCATTTCCTTTTTATCTTGCATTAGTCTCACAAGTCTTTTTTCTTGCCTTTCTCTTACTACTTTCTTTTCAAGATCTTCAATTTTCTTTTCCATTGTGCTCCTTGAGACCAAACTACCTGAAGCACTTGCATCCCTGTTCTATCTGCTGAATCCACTTCTCCCTGTTCGGGGATATCTACTTGAGATACCGTCTTCAGAGGCAGTGGTTGTGCTGATAAAAGACTGTTATCCACACATACAAAGAATTCTTAACAGTAAGAAGGGTCACAAACAATACCTAGATTTCTGACTTGAGCAAGAGTGGATTTTGATGCCAACTACTGAAAGCCACCAGGTCTCACACATTTTCTCTTTTAAACACACTGACTTTTAGATACCTGTGAGAAATATTTTCTATATGCCTGAAACTGTTCTAGATGGCTCTTGTAATAGATAGGAACTGCCTGGGTCTAACAATTAGGGCTTCATTCCGCATCATGTTCTGTTGTGTATTGCATCTTCTCGTTTCTGTTCTTTCTGCCCTGCTTCGTTCATCATCTTCATATTCATCTAAACACTCGGCCGCGGAGATGTTGACCATGGCCGTGGAGCACCACTTCTCCCACAGCTTCCGCTTCTTCAGCTATCCCTTGCCTTTCCTGGCGCTGGACCCTGTGCTCCTGCCCTTCGCCACTGTGCCAGCCTGCTCCTCCTCGTCACCCACGGCTGGAGACGGAGGCAGTGGTGGGTCAGGTCAAGTTTTGTCACAAGTTTAGTGCCTTTCTAAGTAAAAGGACAATACTAAATATAAGAAAAAGTGTAGATGATTATGTCCCAGAACAAGTGAATGAGAAAAATACATTGAGAGGAATCATTTGCTTTTACCATTCTCTGTGATAAACTCAGCCTACTGACACAGGATTATATTTTCTTCATTATGGCCCAACCTCGTTCTGTTGTGGGTAATATTTATGCAATTCTATGGACAATCAGTAAATCATGCTTATTGGTTTTTTATAATTTTGGACTAAGTTTTAGAGCTGCAAGACATGAACATGCTTTGTTGCTTAGGTTCCCTGTTCTGGCAGGTTCTGGAAATTACTCTGAAGCAAAGAAAATCGTACTTTCTTAAACAACATTTGATGAGTATTTGAGCCAATAAACACTGCACCGACACACACACACACACACGATTAGAACACTGTAACAACTAAAGGGTGAGACTTAATTCTTACGTTTGTTTTATTATGGTCTAGTACTTTTATTTTATGGCCCAAAATTCTGAAGTCAAATGGCTGCTGTATTCTAGAGTTATAACAACATTAAAACAGCTTAAACAGTTTCCTAAAAGTATGGTAATCCTAGTTGTTTAAAAATATTGACAATATCAGGTGGTGATGGAGAAATGGCATACTTCCACCTGTTTATAGGAGTATAAATTGATGCACACTTTCTAAAGGGATGATTTGTAATATATTCTTTGTCGAGACCCTTCTGTAGGAATCCATCATGAAGAAATACTTGTACAAGAAAAGCTCAAGTATATTATACATAAATAAACTACAATGTTCATTAAAACTTTTTTTTAATGATAGAAATAAAGCAGAAGCAAAATTTATTGCCCATCAGGTCACAGATGGAATAAATCATAGTACATCCATATAATGGAAAAGTCTGCATCAACACTATTAAAAAGAATGAAGTAGATTTACATCCATTGAAATAGAAGGATGTCTAAGACAATAAAAAGCAGGAAATCAAGAATTACGTAGTGTAAAATGTAATTTTTGTTAAAAAAAAACAAAGACAAAAAAAAATCCCAACTATTTATGTATATAATTATATTAGCACAACTATACATGTCTGGTATTCCACTGTCCTGAATACAAATATACTAATATCCTCTGGAGATTAAAATAATTTCAAAACAGCAGGCAAAGAACCATTCACCTGTTGAATTTAACAGCAAGGCCTAGATCAGCAATACAGCAACTTCCATTTTTCTTGATGAGGATGTTTTTGCTCTTTAGATCTCTATGTGCAATTGCAGGCTTTCCTTGGGTGCCATAAATTTCTGTGTGGAGATGGCACAGACCACAGGCAGCTGAGTAAGCCAACTTGAGCAGGGCTCTGGTGTCTAGTGTAGCGCATTTCAGGAAATCATAGAGAGATCCGTTTTCATGGTAATCAGTAATCAAATAGAGCTGAGTCCAGGAACCTGTCCCTTTAATGTCTGCTGCTATAAAACCTGTTCAATTAATGAGTTTAAAGGTTAGTTATCAGAGGTAGTAATGAATGCTCATTCAGGACATTGAGAATAACTTAGGTTATCAGTACAGATAATAAAAATGTAATCTGCCTGGGAAAAATACCAAAATTTTTATTTCTGCCATGTACACATACAGCTCTACACTTACATAACACATTTAAAATAATCTTAATGATAATTTTATGAAAATGACTATAATGCAACCAAGACACAGATCACATGCGTAGAACCTGGAAGAGTGTTACCAAGTTTCCTGGTTCTCTAAGCTTGAGGAATATAAAGAAGGAATGTGGAAAAGGCTCTCAATTTCATGTTGAAAAGTAGACACATGAAAATAATAAAGTTACAAAGGTTCAACCAAAAGCTTGCCTCTAACTAAGCCAGCTCCCACCTGCCTGACAATGCCTCACCACATCTGCCTTTTCAGCCTGGCTGTTCAGGTGCACAATACTGGCCTCCTAGCTTCCTGCTCTTTCTTCTCTTCTCTCTCTTCACTAAAAGGTCAGTGAGTGCTGGTCTGAACAGTCCTCCCCCGCCCCCACTAGCCAAACTCACATCTACCTGATACCTGTAAATGTGACCTATTTGGAAGTAGGGTCTCAAGAGATGTAATCAAGCTCAGATGAGGTGATACTAAGGTCACTTACTGGTACTCTTACAAGAGTGATATGTGGATCAAACACACAGGGGAGAAGACCACGTGACAACAAAGACAGAGGGGAGTGTTGTCACTGAGCCAAGAAACACCAAAGATTGCTGGCAATCACCAGACTGAGTTCCCCCGGAGCCCTCAGAGGGCACAGCCCTGCCAACTCCCTAATTTTATTTTTCTGGCTTCTCTAACTCTGATAGAATAAATTTCTATTGTTTAAGCTACCTAGTTTGTGGTAACTTTCTATGAGAGCCCTAGGAAACTAACAAAAGTGTCTACGATACTCCTGGCAATGTGCTACCCATGCTCAAAGAGGGGGGAAATGGTAGCTGAAAGAAGTCAGGAAACCTAGATAAGTTTATGAATACTACTGATCAGATCACAGCCAAATTATTTTGCTGTTGTGTAAGTAGGGGTGGAGGAGAGACCTACTAAGGATAAACATAAATGAAGCTGGCTACATCTAATATGTGTGTGTGTGTGTGTGTGTGTGTGTGTGTGCGTGCACGTGTGTGTGACAGTGGGTTATTTAGCTTACAAGAGGCAAAAGGTACAAATAAAGTCACTCTAGAAAATGACTTAAACTACCTTTAAAAGAGTTGGTTTTTGTTAGTATATGGGTTAAATCCAATAAACAAACATTACCTCCAAAGTGAAACTCACT